CCCATTCTGATTTTGGGAGTACCCCCCAAAGCATCCCCAACCCGGGATCCCCTCTTTTCTCAGACGTGCAATCCAAGGTCCAGAAGATTGCGAAGGGCGTGGTGGGTGATCTCCCGCCACTTTGGGGGTATGGTACCCAAGCCCAGGGTACCAGTGACTTCAGGTATGGTTAAGTTGCTTTAACACAAATTTCAGACTGGTTCACCCATTACAAATTTTCTAAAATATGTTTTTATTGATATTTAGGTAGAGAGGTGGGGGGGAGATAAAAACATCAATGAGAGAGATACCCATCAGCTGCCTCCTGCATGCCCCCAACTGGAGATTGAGTCTGAAACCCAGGCATGTTCCCTGATCAGGAATTGAACCAGCAAGCTTTTGGTGTGTGGGACACCTCTCAGTCCATTGAGCCACACCAGCCAGGCCGAGCTCACACATTTTATTTAATATGCATCCCCAGATCTACCTGAAAAAGCCAGTGGTGCTGTGCCCATTTCACAGCTCAGATGTGGTGAGTTTGTCACATACATTGACTCTGGGAACTGTGCTGAGCTCAGGAAAACCCAACCCCATTGTCTGGGGGTTAAACACTCTTCTAAGTGCGAGTGGAGTGTTTCAGGCAAGAGAGTGATGTATGAATTGTTCTTTAAAAAGGTCGGGACCCAATAGAAAATGGGTGGAAAGAGAGCAAGAGAAGAAGCCAAGGGGCCACCGATACATCATTGCCCTCGTCCAGGCGAGAGGCGGTGGCAACCCGCGCCCATGCTGTTAGAGACTTACACCCGGGCACGGAGGCCGCAGGAACCCGGGCACCTACCCCACATGCTCCTGCAGCTCTGCCTTCCCTCTTGGCCAGCTTGCATCTGAGGGGCTGCAGAGCAGGTCCTCAGGGAGTGTCTGCTGCATGCTGGGCTCCTTTCCTCAGCGAACCCAGAACCTGCCTCCCCCTAGCTTCCCTTCCACCACTCTACCACTTCACGCCCAGATCCTTGACCATTCCACGTACCCTCGACTCAGAGCCATAGCTCAGGCCCTACCCCCCTGTCTTCTGTGTCTTATTGCATCGTAACTCCCGCCAGGATGAATCTCTGTGTGTTCCCAGGGTACCTTGCTCATACCAGCAGATAGTCGTGATTCCATTATTCTGTTCTGCCTGATACAGAATTAGCTGCTGACAGTGTACTGGAAAATGTTTATGTACTGGGCATATCTTCCCGGGTAATTTTAAGAATTCATTGGCATGATGGCTACAGCAGCCTAGTGTATTCATTTCTCCCATTCTCCCCCCTCCCTCTTCTGCCACTAAATTATGAGCTTTGCAAAGAGAGAGCGTTTTACTAGTATTTGTCCCCTTTTCTCCTGCGTCTAAATAATGCAGTGCCTCGCCTGTAACTGGAGCTAATTAATCCTGTTGGTTGAATTAATGGGCCAGAGAAAGTGAACAAATGGCATGAACCCTTCTGGTGGTTGGGAATGTGTGGTGCTGAGCATTCATGTCGGATGGAGGTCAGGTTCTGTTCTAAGGTCAATTTCACCTGCGGGCCACCAACATGTCACCGAGAGACATGTCACAAAGTGACGTTTCGTAATTGCAAGGGTGCGGTGTGACTCCCCCTTTTGCAGAGCATTCAAATTCAAGTACTCTGAGATTCTCGAATTAAAAAAAAAAAAAAACAACAGTTAAAAGGGAATTGTGTGGAGTCAAGTGCTCCTGTTTGAGACAAGTGGTTTTAAATGAGAGCCAGCAACTGCACTTTCTATATACTTACTGTGCTGCTGCATTACCAGGCTTGCCTTGAGTTGAATATTCTGGAATAGATTTTGAAAATCTCTTGGGTTTTCAAGGGAAGAGTACAGCTTCCAAGCCCTGCCCTTCTCCGTAATATTTCCCTCTGGTAAAGGGCAATACACATTTTTTTTTTTTAGAACAAAATGATTTGTATTCATCAAGCTTCATACCCATTACCGTTAGGTGTTTTGTTATTTGCTGAATTAACTGATGCGCTATAATGAATGGGCTTTGGGGTCACACAGTCCCACACAATCTTCTGACCTGACCCAGGCCAATACCATAACCCCTTCCAACTTCCATCTCCTCCTCTGAAATGCCTGCGTGGTTGAGCGGATTGAGGGGGATACAGTGCCCTGTGGAATCTCACCCAGCAACCGCACACCACAGCCACTTCCACCCGGAGGAACCCCGGTCCCCCAGAGAGAGGAAGGTTTGCTGGCCCTGAAGTCTTTATCCTCGGCTGCCCTGTGGGGCCTTCCTCCACCTGCGATGCTGCGCAGAAGAGGCACTGTTACCCCCAATGAACTCCTAGGATTTGGGGCTGTCAGTCTGATACCGTGCTATTAGCTGGGTCGCTGTTTGTAAGCGTCAGAAATCCACTGAAGGTAATGCAAGCAAGCTCCAGAGGAGGGAGGGTGCTTTCTGATGTTCTTCCCAGGGCGCTGTCAGGGTGGGAACACTTTTCCCTAGCTCCTGGTGTTTCCTTCTACGTGGAAGGGCATCTGTGAGCCTAACACCCCTGGCTCTCCCCGCCCTCACCCGCTCCCCGCCAGGGAAAGGGGGACTCAGGTTCACTCACTAGTTCAGGAGTGAGTGATACAGCCAATGCCAAGCTGGAACCAACTAGTCCCCTACCTCCAGGACTCACTTCCTTTCTCCGGCGCTGCTTGTCTCTGCATATTCTTCTCCCTCCAAAGACCCTGTTGGAAAGCTGGCTGCTCTCAGCGGGTTGAGGGGAGCTGACCCACAGCTCCCTGGACTGTGGCCCAGCCTGGCCCAGTTCACCTGGGCCGGGGGGTCCCACAGAACAGACGTGGCTGTCAGGTCTGCACCCCTGTTGACGGGGGGCGGGGTTGTGAGAGTGGGGAGGCATGGCGTGCTGCGCCCTCCCCCCTGGGCAGCCTCTGTTGCCTCCTCCGTGAGATCAGGTTAATGATGGCAGCCACCTCCCAGGGCTCTGAGGAGGAAATGGAACGGTATCTGCAGTGCCAGCCTGCACGTAGAATTTTTCAAGGCATGATCGTGGTTACAGGACAAGGACTGCAACCATCCAACTGACCCCTGCACACAGTAGATGCACCACGAATATTCACAGAATGAGTGAATATCCTCAAGTCAATGCCTACCACCTCCCTCCTTCATTCACTCTTTGCTTCTAATAACGAGAAGCAAATAACTAGTTAGCCGTGAGGGCCCTGGGGTGGGGGCGCTGCTACCATTATCCAGAGCTCGGTGCGAGACTCCCACGCGTTTCCTCACCGGTGTTGCTAAGCCCACGTGCATGCGGCTTTCTGAAACCAGCCCATCACCCGTCCTTGTTCCGTTCTGCATGGCGGGATCTCTCTGGATCTGTGTCCATCGCCTCTCGGTGATGCTGTCATGGAGTTGGTGCCCCCTGGAGTACTTCGTTGCAGAGGAGTGGATGGGCACCCAGGCAGTGTTCGGATTCAGTGTAGTGGTGAAGTCTGCTGACTCTGTGGCCAAAGCTCTGAGTTCTGTCTGCAGAGACACCACTTCACTTGGTGCTTCAGTCTCCTCATCTGTAAAAAGGGGACACTTAGCATTGTGGGTGTGGATGATAATGACAGCGATTAGTAGTCCGGTATGCAAAGCGCTTAGCACCGCGTGTGATACACAGAAAGGGCTTGGGAAGCAGGGTCCACAGGTAGCAGTGAGAAGTGAGCGCCTCAGTCCTTGTTCTGAGATACCACACGATACAGCTGAAAACACGGGTTTCGGATAACAAAGCAGGCACTCAGCAAGAAGACGCACAAGCAAAAAGATGCACCGAGAACGTGTTTGAATGGTGGCTTGGAGGGAGTGTGGGGGGAAAGGGAGGAAGAGGTGATAAAAGGAAACAAGCAAACAATGGGGGCTTGTTCCCAGCCCATGGTGCAAAAGGCAATCAGCAAAGCTAAACTCAGGTATTTGGGGACATGACTCGGGAGCAGTCTGGAGGGAATCAGCCCCCTGCCCTGTGAAGGGGGAGCTGAGAACGCTGACTCCTGGGTAGGCTAACTCTCCAGTTTGCTCATACGGGCCCAGATTCAAATTGGAAAATCCCACATCCCTGGAACCCCCTCAGTCCCAAGCAAATTCAGGATGGTTGGTCCTATTGGAGATGTACACCCCCCAAAATGGCCCGTGGGCTGCTCCCCTGGTCCACAGGGTTCCCACGCAGCCCAACGCCCTATAGTCTGCGTGGGAACAAGGCAAGGAAGCATCCGGCCTCCCACCCCGGCATCTGCTCTGCGGTTTCCTCCGTCTTGGTCCCTCCATCGTGCAGAGCACGGGCGTGGCTGCCCCAGGTGCTCGCCTGCAGCGGCATCTCAAGCCAACTCTACCCCCTCTCCGTTTTTTCCACCTAGAAAATGGGGTCATCATCCCACCTGGTGTTAAAAAAGAAAGAGCCTCTCAAAGTGGGAGGCAGACAAGCGTGTATTTGAAATCAATAAGAACAGCTACTCGGGACACACCCACGGATTCCGGAAGGAGTGCAAATAGTGTTCCGATTCGGAGATCAAGGCAATGGGCGTTTGTGATGGTTACGGGGACCGTTGCATCAGTAGAAGGAAGGCAGTTCTGTTGGTGAAGAATGTTTTTTAAGTAAAAACATTCTGCTTTCTTGGTAACTTTGCAAACAGTTTTCTCGGGAAACAGGGTTGCCTCCGTCTCCATCCAAAGGTTATTGCATCCCGTTCTGACATGCCAAGAGTGGAGGCGTGAGGCATGCAAGGCAGTTTCTCTGCAAGGCAGCTCCGGTTCCATTTTAAAGTGGCTCCACTTATTTTATTTTATTTTTTTATTTTTTGACACCGGCGTATGGTCAAGGCCAAGTGAAAATGATTTGCAGTGTGTATTCCGTCTGAAAGCAGAGGGTGCCATGTCAGAGGCACCTTCCGCACGCTGAGGGACATGGAGGGGGTGGGATATGGGGCCGGAGGGGGCGTGGTCTCCACTGGCCTAATTCTGCTCCTGGTTCTTTCAGGGGGAGCGTGTGAGGGCGGCCTCTGTTCCCGAAGGAGGGGATCATGGCCTCCATGCTGCTCACCCGGCGGCTGGCCTGCAGCTTCCAGCACAACCGCCGCCTGCTCGTGCCCGGTAAGCTTGGGGGGGTGGGGCGGGCGGTAGGTAGCAGAAGGCATGCTCAAATCTAGGGATTCTGAGTGGGAGAGTCCTTAGGGACAAAGGCACTGGCCAGGCAGTGCTTCCCAGGGCTGTCTCATCACCCCCATAAAATGGTCCCCATCACCCCCTACCTTTCCCCAGCTCTGCCTCCCAGGCAGTCAGCTCTGCAGGGGCAGGGAGCTGATCCTCCCACTTGCACAGAGGTGGTGGCCCCAGCAGCTAGAAGGGCCCAGGCTGTTCCCACAGAGGCCATAAAACACCCAGCTCCAGCGGTGGCCAAGAAACAAAGAAAGTAACCAATGTCCTTGTGATTGATGTGAAGGCTAGCTGTGCTCCACCAGCACTTGGCAGGAGGCGGCCACCCTGGAATGTCCCACCCCCACTTGCCTCTCCCCCACCTCCCACTCCCCACACCCACCGCCTGCTCATTGCCCTCCGGCTCCTGGAGGCTCCCCTTTCTCTGCGCATCACTGAGTTCAGGCAGCTCAGCGAAGTGAGCTTCATCAGCCAACACCCTGCTTGCATGATCTCCAGTGGTCCCAGGAGAGCAGCAGGAGTGAACCCCATTTCACAAGTGAGAAAACTGCGGCTCAGAGAAGAAGAGTCACTTGCCCAAGGTCACACAGCCACATGATCCATGCGGCTCTGAGAGGGAGAGGCTGGCAGTAACCTCCCTTCCCACACTGTGTCTCCGGCCGTCCCGTTCTCTGGGAGCCCCATGCTTGTCATCACACTGTCCTCTTCGGTTGTCGGTCCTGTCTGCCTTGTAGAGGCAAATGGTTTGCATGTTTGTATCCTGAGTGAGACGATGTCCGCTCCTCTCCCAGGAATATTGGCATGCTCTCTGCTCTGGGATGATTTTAGGTACACAGAGAAGTTACAAAGATAGTGCAGAGAGAGCCCCTACGTCCCTCACCCAGTTCCCCCCTCGTTAACATCTTACATCACAAGGATGCTCTTGCCCTAGCCAGTTTGGCTCAGTGGATAGAGCATCGGCTTGCAGACCAAAGAGTCCCAGGTTCGGTTCCTGTCAAGGGCATGTACCTAAGGTTGCAGGCTCGATCCCGGGCGTTGGTCGGGCACGTTCAGGAGGCAGCCAATCCATGTGTCTTTCTCACATGGATGTTTCTTTCTCTGTCTCTCCCCCCTCCCTTCCACTCTCTCTAAAAACCAATGGGAAAATATCTTCAGGTGAGGATTAACAAAAATAAATGAAGATAAATAAATAAATAAATAAATAAATAAATAAATAAATAAATAAATATAAACCAAGGATGTTCCTGTCCCAACTAAGAACCTGACCTTGGCACATCACTGCTAATCGAACCCCAGGCTTCTCTTTGGATTTCACCGGCTTTCCCTTGCTTCTCCCTTTGTCCCAGGATCCAGTCCAAGTTTCCACATGTCCCGTGTCCCGCTCTGTGGCAGTTTTGCAGTCTTTTCTTGTTGTTCTCCACCTTGGTAGCCTTAGTAGGTTTGGGGGATTTGTTTTTGTTTTATTTCATCAGAAGAGATGCATGTAAATGCTTACCCATTAGTATGTTAAAAATAAAATGAAACCAGAGTAATCCAGGTCTAGTTTGCACCAGGTAGGAGGGAGAGTTGTGGGCATGGAAGATTTATTCATTCTATAACTATCGATAACACTGTGGAGCCACCTCGTAGTTTTGGAAGGCTGTGCTGGTGATTGAAGATACGTCAGAGGAAAGTGGGGCCTCCAGCCTGGTGGCACACGTGGCTCAGCCTTTGAAGGTCATTCTCAAGGGCATCTGAGCCTCCCTCTGGAGGAATCAAGGAAAGAGCAATGGATTAAGACTCATAAGATTGGGCTATTCAGTAGCCGCTACTGGCTTCATTCACCACCTATTAGCCAAGTGAGCCGAAGCAAATGGCAGAACTCCAAGCCTCAGTCTTCCCATCAGGAACGTGGGGAGGACAAGGATGATCCTCCCTGCTTTACAAGTTACTTGTATCTAAAGAAATGGCTCCTGTGAGTGAAAGCACTTCAAAGGGATATTTACAGTAAGGTGGGGGAGTGTCCTAACTTCCATTTTACAAACATGGATATGGAGATAGGATGCAAAAAAATCAAAGGGCCTAAATCAGAGTCACTCAGCTCTGCCGTTTCTTGGCTGGAGTTGAATCTTGGGCACACTTATGCCAGATTCAGAAACTCAGTGTTTTTTTTCTTTTGGTCTATCAATTTGGCATATCTATTATGATTGATATATGATGGATGGATGGATAAATAGATAGACTGGGAAAATCCTTGGAGACAAAGGCACTGGCCAGCCTTTGGGGTTGTTTTTTTTGTTTGTTTGTTTGTTTTTTTAGAGATTTTTTAATAATAAAATACAGTGTAGGCAAAGTTACCGTAATATGTGCACTGTCATAGACTACTTATGGGCAAGTAACAATAGGAAAATGGTTTTTAAAATTATAGGAATAATGGCTTATCCTTAACCATTTAGTCCCTGCCATGACTCCATCAAACAGAGGAAAGTGAGGCTCAGAGAAATGAAGGGACTTGCCCAGAGCTAACAAGGGGCTGAGCCAGGCTTTTAGCTGAGCCAATGAGGCCCCAGGACTCACACCCTTTACAACTATGTGAGCGACCTGTTGCCATATAACAAATACTCCCAAACTTAGCTCCTTAAAATAATATGTTTATTGTCTCACAGTGTTTCTGAATCTGGGGTCCATGGGGCTCCCCTGGATCCTCTGACTCCAGGTGGCTTGTGAGAGGGTGGCTGAGCTATTGGCTGAGACTGGTCTCATCAGAGGCTCACAGTCAGAGCTGTGGGTCTCCTTCCAAGCTCACTGGTGTGATTGTGCGGGATTCAGGGCTGTGTAGACCTCTCCCTAGAGCAGACCACTCAAGTCGGAAGCCACAGCCTGGTGCCATCCCGTGTGCAGCTGCTTCCACGTGTGTCTCCACCCACCCATCCAATCACTGTAAAGCCATTACACTTGAGGTTGCTCATGGCCTGAGACAATGTTGTTCCCATGGCATCGTTTCATGCCACCCCCAAAAAAGTGTATAATCTCACGTTGACAAGTAGAATACAGAGACTGGGAAACTTGACTGAAAAATGGTTGTCTCCGGTGATGCCGTTCGACGTGGTGTTTTTTCCTTGCTGCTTATTGCTATTTCCTCAGTGAGCGTGTTATCACAAAATAAGGGGGTGGACAGTTGCAGGGAGGGAGATAAGACTGTTTATAAGAGAAGTAGAGCAAACAGCTCCCGGTGAACTCGGCCTTGACTTTGACCAGGCTCTCGTCTTGCTGTTTGGGAAAATGACATTCATTTATTACTTTCAGAAAAAAGATCAAGAGGATGTTAAAAATGTTTGATGGCTGTTTTTATAGTCTGGAGTTAAAGATTTACTGTGGCTGTCCCCTGGGCACTGAGGGTGGCGAGTCTCACTGCTGGCCCGGAGGGCGGGGCTGGACTTACCTGCAGGCCTGGTCTTGTGTGTTCAGCCAGACCCCTGCCTCCTGGCTGTGCTGCCTTGTTTATGAATGAAAATACTGGATCATTCGGTCTTTATTCAAACTTATTTTTTGTTTTGCTCCCTGTGCTTCCGATAGTAATTTGCTTCTGGAGGAAGCGAGTTGTTTTGCTGTAAATGTTTCATTTCAAAGACCTACACTAGATGAGATCAAAGATTCCATCAGTTCCATTCCAATTATCTAGGGAAGAAGAGGTCAGATGGACAAACTTATGGTGTGTGACTTTGGGCAAATTAATTGACGTTTCTGAACTTTGGTGTCTTCTGTAATCTGCAAATAATATCTCCCTCCTAGGAATGAGGTGATGCTTGATATCCAAAGCAATTATAGAAAATTATGAATGAATTTAAATATGTTTCCTAATATCTTGGTTTTGTATGGTGTGGCAAACTGTGTGTGTGTGTGTGTGTGTGTGTGTGTGTGTGAGAGAGAGAGAGAGAGAGAGAGAGAGGCACTAGCACATGCAGTAACAACTCCCCCTCAGTATTGTGTAAAGATGAAATGAGATCACATATATGATTTACATAAAGTCACTAGTGATTCCCTAGTTTGATGCAACTATGACAACCCTAGAAAAGTAAGTAATATTTCTCAACCACCAAATACGTACCAGGAAGATAAAAGAGACCGGGACGTTAAAGGGATCTCTAGGGGTTACTGATTATAGATTATAACTCATTGCACACTTCTCTTGGATTCACCAAGCTTCCTTTCACTCAGGGACTAAGGAGATGGGGCTGGGGGTGGGGGGTGGAGGGGGGCGCTACTTTCTATGTCTCAGCAACGTATGAGCCAAAAAGCTTTGTGGGGTTAAGCCTGGGAACTCACGCACCCTCTGTAATTTTATCACTGTATCAAAAAGAGGTGAAATGAGTTTCAAGCAAATGACTTGTTCCCTAAAGATTTTTAACAACAACAGCAAAAAAATCTTACAGGTGGGGACCACCTGGATTTAGACATTTGATCGTTTTCTCTTGCATGGCTTTTGATTGTCACAACTAGGACACAACTTGGGGTGGGTGCTTCTGGCATCTGGTGGGCAGAGGCCAGGGATGCTGCTCTATATTTGCAGGGCACAGGACAGCCCATGACACAGAATTTCCAAGTCCAAAATGTCAGGAGTGCCAAGACTGTGAGGTTCTGGTCTAAATGCATTTGGATATAGATTAAATTTTTACAAAATTTGGATGATTTTCTAATCTGATCATTCACATGCCAATACCCCAGGCATCTTTGCATACCCATAAATATTCAATATGTCTATCTTGAAACTGTTAAAGGATGCACAATATTCCATTGTTCATGAAATGGGGAATACATCATATTCTATTAACTACCTTCTATTGTCAGACATTTAGGTCATTTCTCTACAACATCACTGGCACTGGGCTTTCCCATTTTTTAAAAATCCTCAGTGTTCTGGGGTGGCCTGGCTGGGATGGGGTTGAGGTCCTGGGACTGCCTCCTGGCTGTGCTGCCTTGTTTATGAATGAACACTGGGTGTCTGTTAAGGCAGAATCCTCACACTATCCACTATCTCTTTGTTTCCTGCAGGAGCCAGGCATATCAGTCAGGCTGCAGCCAAAGTCGACGTGGAATTTGATTATGATGGGCCTCTGATGAAGACAGAAGTCCCGGGGCCTAAATCTCGGGTGAGTTGAGCACACCTGAGTGGGAGTTTTGGAGAAGAGCAGAAAGGGTCCGAGAGGCAAGAACACAGTCAAACTTAGGAACTGTTTGCTTAGCTGCTTTCAGAGATTTTACTACTAGAGATCTGAGACATTCAACGAGGCCATTCTGCTCTTAGAAGTCAAAGAAGGTTTCTCAGAGGAGATGTATCAGTATCTGCTGCTACGATAATGCTGTGTAACAAACAATCACAAAACCTTAGTAATCACAAAATCTATAGTAACATATAGATTGCTGGTGCATGTAAGGGTAACTGGGAGTTGGCTAGGCAGCTCTATTGGGCCCACCTTCATGCCTGGGGAATGGCTGGCCATCAGTTGGACTAGCCTGGCTGGACTTGGTCACTGCCGTGACTTGGCTCTGTTCCATGTGTCTCTAATCCTCCAGTACTTTGGGCTGGGCTAGTTCTCCAGGTGATGGTAGAGGAGAGCATGTTCTAGCCCTCTTGAGGCCCAAGCCCCACACTGGTCCACCATCACTTCCACCTTGTTCTGTTGGCCAAAGCAGGTCAAGGGCTGGGGAAGAACATCCTACCAACAGTGGAAGAACATGGCAAAGCTATATGGCACAGGGCATGGATAGCAAATGACCTTGAGCTTGACCTTGAAGGACAAAAAGGAGGGATTTGCCAAAGGAATGCATTCTGTTCTTGGCAAGGGGAATGGTATGTGGAGAGGCATTCCGGGTGATAGTATGTGGTATATGAGAGACACTGGATGGCTCTGAATTTCTAGAGTAAATGTCAGTGTGTGAGATGAAAAAGACACAAGTTGAGTGATGATGGAGACTGGAACTTTTACTCCAAGATGCTACAAAATCTGCATCTAACACATTTTGGAGACTGACTAATCTTGATTCTGTGTAGTGATGTGCAATACTGTTTCTAATGATTGCATCTAAAAAATAACAGTGTAACCATATTTAACACAGATTAAATTTTTCTTTGCATATTTTGCAGTTTTCTCCAGTGTCATTTTTTAGTGTCAAAAGATACCCTCCCTTTTGTCAGTGCAACTATTTATAAATCCAGAAATCTTTTTCTGGTAAATGATTTTAGTTATTATGGAGAGTGTCTTCCCACAAAAGGAGACTTTCCCACACATATTTCTGTTGGGAACTGGTAGATTTTCGTTTAACAGTAATGAAATGTTTTGGGAATAATTTTTAATATTTTAAGTTAACATTTTCTATTTTAATGTGGAGATATATAATTTTATTACACTAATTGCCAAAGTTTATTTTATATTAAATCATTTTTAGAGGTTAAATCTTTATAATATTAAAGCAACTGGTGTATAATTCCCAGTTTCCATAGAGAATTGCACAGTGGTTTATAAAATATATGGATTATACTGTAATTATAAATGGGTCTTTGTGTGCACATTTATATTTTTCAGTTGATTTTATTTTCCTAACATGATGTTAAAGCCTTTCTTCTTCTAAATAAAAAATAAAACCATGCTTTTATGGACACTAAGTAAACGCCTTCAGCTAAATCTTGTTGTTGTTAAATATTTTAGTTTGTTTAATTATCTCCCAATGCCTAAATCTCCAGTCTGTCCGTTGTAATGATCACTCAACTGTCAGGAGTAGTTTCCACCATTGATTTATATTAAGCAATTTAAAAATAGTTATAATATTGTTGACTACTTCGCTATGCAGTTATTCGCATGAAGGGAAAAGCAGCCCCAAGACTTGGGAAGACGTGAGCAATTTTAAACTACTTTGAAGCGTGTGTCCTTGCGGTAATGCTCTTGCTTTTTTTGCCCGCAGGAGCTAATGAAACAGCTGAATATGATTCAGGTAAGTGGAGATGAGGAAGTGTTCCATCTATGGCTTCTCTATTACAATTTAGCTGAGGGGCACAGATGCTCTGTGCTGGTTCTTTTTTTTTTTTTTTTTTAAGGTTATTCAGAACCTTTTTTTCTCATTTTCCTTGTGATTTCTTCTTTCACTCATTGATTATTTTTGTGTCTTTTGATTTCCACATTTTGGTGAACTTCTCAAGTTTCTTTCTGTTATGGATGTCTAATGTCATTGCATTGTGGCTAGAAAACAGATTGTGTGTGTTTTCAGTTCTCTTAGCTGTATTGGACCTTTTTATGGCCCGGCATATGCACTGCCCTGCTGCTGGGCGGGGTTGTGTGGGTGTCGGTGAGATAATGGGTTAGAGCGTTGTTCACATCTACTTCCTGGCTAACCTTCTGCCTGTGTTCTGCCCATCCTTGAAAGCCATGTATTGAAGACTCCAGGACATAGACAACTTTCTGGTCGAACTATTCTTTTTTTATTAGGTTTTTCACTTCAGGTTTTAATTAAGAATTTAGAACTATTCTTGAAGAACTATTTCTCCCTTTAATTCTGTCCATTTTTGCTTCATATTTTTGGGGCTCTGTTATTAGGTGCATTTATGTTTATAATTGTTGTATCTTCTTAGTGGACTGACCCTTTGTCATCATTAAATGCCTCTCTTTACTTCTGGGAACTTTTTTTTTTCATTCTATAGTTGATTTTATCTGATATTACAAGTGGTCGGCAAACTTGAGAGCCGCAGTTTGCCGCTCTGTTAACTAATGAGTTTGCCGACCACTGGGATAGGAGCTTAATCACAAGGAACAACAACAGCCTGTAATTATTGGAATCGAGAGTCTAGGTCAGTGGTCGGCAAACTCATTAGTCAACAGAGTGGCAAACCATGGCTCTTGAGCCACATGTGGTTCGCAAGCCAGTTTGCTGACCACTGGTATAGACCATTCCAGCTTTCTTATTATTGCTGTGAGAATCATGTTTTCTTTTTTATTGTTGTTAATCCCCACCCAAGATATTTTTCCATTGACTTTTAGAGAAAATGGAAGGGAGGGGGAGAAACACTGAGAGAGAAACATTGGCAAGAAACATCAATTGTTTGCCTCCCACATGCACCCCACCCTTGACTGGGGATTGAGCCTGCAACTGAGGCATGTGCCCTTGGCTGGAATGGAACCTGGGACCTTTCAGTCCACAGGCCGATGCTCTATTCACTAAACCAAACTGGCTAGGGCTCATGTATCTTTTTTTCATCCTTTTACTTTTAACCTATTTGTATTATATATATATATATATATATATATATATATATATATATATATATATATTTGATTATTTATTGATTTATATTATTGATTTATTACAGAGAGGAAGGGAGAGAGATAGAGAGCCAGAAACATCGATGAGAGAGAAACATTGACCAGCTGCCTCTTGCACACCCCGCACCAGGAATGCACCCACAACCAATGTACATGCCCCTGACCGGAATCGAACCCGGGACCCCTCAGTCCGCAGACCGATGCTCTACCACTGAGCCAAACCGGTTTCGGCCTGTTTGTATTCTTGAAACTCAAGTATGTGGCATGTCAACAGCTTATGGTTGAACCTTTTTAATGCAGTCTGATGGTTTCTGACTTTTGATTAAATGGTTCAGTTTATCCATAGATAATGTTATTATTGATATGTACCTACCTCTTCCTTGTTACATTTTCTTCTCTTTGTCTCATATCCCTTTTGTTCCTCTGGGCCTCTTTTGCTTTATGTTTTTGCATTAAGTAACTTCTAGTCTAACGTTTTTATTTCTTCCATAATTACTATGTGTGTTTTCTTAGTTTTCTTCATGGGTGCTCTATGGTTTACCATATACATCCTATCAAAAGCGTCTTGAGAGATACAGATCAACCTTTTTGTTGTGATGTGTAAAACAGGCACAGACAACTTCATACAATACAAATTCACAGCTTCATAAACTATTACAAAGCAAATCACCCGTGTGATTATCCTGGGGCAAGAAATGAGGCATTTCTGGCACCTGCAGAGACCTTCCACATGCCCATAGAGTGGCCGGGTCGTGGCTCTTTTCACTGATTCAAGCTGAATCCTAAAACGCGGAGGACTCGGAGTGGCGGTGAGCCTGACTCATTCTGTCTTCTCCCGAAGAATGCAGAGGCTGTGCACTTCTTCTGCAATTACGAAGAGAGCCGAGGCAATTACCTGGTCGACGTGGATGGCAACCGAATGCTGGATCTCTATTCCCAGATCTCCTCGGTCCCCATAGGTAAGAGCTGGGAAACCCTCTCTTGGTCATGGCTACCCAGCCTTCACAAGTCCCTTCCCGCACGCACGTCCCTATGTTACCAGACATTTCCCTCGAGGGCAGAGAGAAGGCACAGGTTGTCCGTAGAGGGTGTATGACTAGGGCCTTTACATGGCTTCTCTCATTTACTCCTCCCCCAAAACCCACCAGGTAGGTATGCATTAGTGTTAGACGGAGAGGCGAGGCTTAACAGCTTGAGAGGAAGCTGAGCCAGGATGTGAGCACAAGTCTGTGTGACCAGAGTTGGATGTCCAGTCCGTGGCTGGGTTTCCCAGAAGAGGGGCCTGAGGCAGGGGTTCTGGGCGTGTAGTTTATTGAGAGAGAGCTCTCTGCAGAAGTGGGGGTGGGGGCGGAGAGGAGAAACAGCACAGGGCAGCGGGGGAATCTAAGAGGGATGAGCTGTCTGCTGGAGACCAACCACTGTCTGGTCCCCCGGGGTGCTCTTGAGCATGCATGTAGCACCCCCGAGTTGGTCCTAGCCTGAAGCAGAGAGACTGGCCTTTGTGTACCTCTGTGCCAGGCAGTCATTGCCCGTCAGCGCCAGAAGGAAGGAAGGACTTGTCAGCTCTGGGGTGAAGTGGCTTCCAGGCACCAAGGGCAATTTTCCAGAGCGGGAGGCAGCTGGAGCCCTTGTCAGCCAGATGCTCAGCAGCTGGGAGGGGGTGGCCAGGTGGGCCACCAGCAGCACCGGCCTCACCGGCTCCACTCCTGGCACACAGAGCGTGACTTGCTCTGTAGGAAGGGACACGGGGGACAGGATGGATGGGCTGACCGGGACGGGCAGTAGCTGGTGTTTGCAGCGTGGGTGGCCGGTGGGTTCCCCTGGGATCTCTGGGCTGTAGGCCGATGTCAGCGGATCCAGGCCCATTTGCTCCCACCCATCAGCACCTCCCACTCCGCAGCCAGGGACTTCCCCTGAGACCCCAAATCAGGTCCCCACTCCTCCTCTGCTCCCCCCTTCGCAGTCTCTCCCACCTATTCCCCATTAAGGTGCAATTAGACAGTAAGTGGGTGACTCATTCTCTCTGGAAAGCCCGGTCATTCAGACATGCCTCAGCCTCGGAAGGCATTTGGGATGCTAAGATTTACCAGCCCCACCTCCGTTTTGCGTCAGAGGGAAAGGGAGTTGACTCGAGTGGTCCTGGGTTTGCATCTGGGCTCCGCCATGTATTAGCCATGGGTCTGTGGGCCAGTGACCCCTCCTTCCTCCCTCTCACCCCAGCGAGTGTATGCGTGTTGGGGGTGGGAGGATCAGGCCGGCAGCAGCTGTTAAAAGACTAGACATTCTAAGTTTCTCTCTCTCGCCACCTTTTATCCCATATCTGTAGCCTTTGAGGTGACTTTTTAACTCTTAATCACTGAGAATTTGCTCTATGCCTGGCATATTGCTAAGTGCCTTCCCTGTTAGTAAATCCCCACAACAGTCCTATAATGCTGGGTACTTTAGCATCACACTCCCCGCTCCCCCCCCCCCCCCCCCATTTTCTGATGGGGAGCCAGCTTCCAAGAAGGTGCAGAGTTTGCCCAGTGTGTCCAAGAAGCCAAAGGATTTGAACCAGCTGCTCACTGCTGCTCTGCTTACTTCTGTGAGAGCAGCCTCCCAGACGGCCGCCCTGCCCTGCCCTGCCCTGCCCTGCCCTGCCCTGTGTGTGTGTGTGGAGGGGGGAGGGGGGGGCAAGCATCCAGGGCTTCGAAGGCCCAGGGTGGGAGTTCCCTGACCTGAGGGGCCCGCTCTGCTCTCCTCTATCCTAATGAAGCCAGTAGACAAGCTGAACCTGTGATCTCACAGAGCCTGCGCATCGGAGGCAGAGAAGTCACACGCACCAGGCGCTGTGACATAGAGCAGAGCTGAGAGGCCTCGGGCCAGAAAACATGGGAAAACTCCTACCACGTTCCTTCCTTGAGTAATGAGCGCTTCCCAGCCCTGGGCCCAGCACACCTCGGAATGGCACGGGGACGGGCACGGGGACAGCAGAGGATGGTCGCCCCCCCATCACGCCCCCAGTCCATGCTCCCTGCAGCAGGCTGAGTGAAACCACATCTGTTCACTCTTTGGTTGCATGGAGGAGAAGTTCCCCCCCTCTCCCCCCTCCTCTAGGTCTTTAATGCCCATCTAAACTGGCTAATCTCCTACTCTGGAGGCAGGAGGCCCCAAGCTCAGAGGTGGGCAGGCCTCTCACCATTGTACTCTAAAGTCTCCTCTCAAAGTCAACGTATTTAAATTAAAAAATGAATCGATAGGAAGAAAATAAGTACAAAGTATGCACCATAAAAATGGGGATTTTTGAAGACTGAGAGTTTTTCTCCAAGTTCTACGGCCTGCTCCAGGATTCCCGGATGAGTCTTTTCTCACATACGTCAGTTTGAGTTCTTCCATGTTGCTGGGCCCCAGCATTACTCATTCACTCAGCTCATACCTATGGAGCTGGACGCTTGCCACTGCTGTTGAGGGCCTCCCGATCTGGTCTCCTGATCTCAGTGCCTCCTAAAATCTTGGCCTGGCTGTGGGAGTTGATGCCAGGACTCGCCATGATGAACAGACAGCCTCCTGCACATAGTAGATGCTCAATAAATGCAAGTCAAGGCTTTGAACCCAAGACCTCTGGCTCCAGGATGGGCAATCCTGTCTTTCACCCTCGCCCTTTACAATGAAAGCTTCCACCTTCTGAGCATCTGCTATGGGCAGGGGGTTTTCTCTTCCATGCTCACCCAGGTCACAACTGATCTGCTGTCGATGGACTTTCGGGGGCATTCAAGCCTGGAGGAGTTGGGGTGGCACAGTTTAGACGTGTGTGCATCGGTCTGCATACACGTGTGCAGGATAGATTCCTGGGTGAGTCATTGCTGAGTCCAAGGGTGTCTTAAACCTTGTCGTGGAGAGTCAGGCTCAGGCTGGACTCGGGAATAAGCAGATGTGTGAAGACAGAACCGGATCCACCGGCCTCAGATGGCAGGTGGTGCCATACCCTCGCTCGGCTCCTGAGCAAACACTTAAAGCAGCTGGACTCCATCTGTAGGCACTGGGGGAGAAAGCGGGGACCACATGTGTGATTCATCACGCGGGCCTGGGGAACCCCTCCCAGACCACGAAGTTTGCTTTCGCTTGCACCCACCTCCTTGTATGTCTGTCTAGCTCTGAAGGTCTCAAACCTGAACCCCAGAATTACCTAGAGAACCTGTTGCAGATTTCCGGGCCACGCCCTGAGAGATTCTAAGTCAGGGGGTCTGGGTGGGCCCAGCCTTGGGTGCTTTCCTCTGCCAAGAAGAGGTGGCGTGAGAAGAGTTTGGAAAGGAAGGGAGGGGCAGCAATGGAGGAGGGGCACGGGGCCCTCAGCTGCAATGTTGGTCTCTCACCACCTTCCCATCCCCAGGTTACAACCATCCTGCGCTCATGAAGCTCGTCCAGCAGCCTCAGAATGCGGTGAGTCCCAATTAGACGGTAACGACCAACCTGTTCACGGCAGTTCAGGGGACTATTGGGCACCTTGGGAAATAGCCCATTCGTTCATTCCATAAGTAGCTATTGATCACACACTATGCGCTAGGCCAGTGGTCACTAAACAGCTGCTCGTGAGCCACATGTGGCCCTTTGGCCCCTTGAGTGTGGCTCTTCCACAAAATACCACGTGCGGGCACATACATAAAGTGCGATTAAAACTTCATGGCCCATGTGCAGAAGTCAGTTTTCGGCTCTCAAAAGAAATTTTAATCGTCATACTGTTGATATTTGGCTCTGTTGACTAGTGAGTTTGCCGACCATTGCGCTAGGCACTTGGAGTACCGTGGTGAGCAGAAACACAGCACCCCGCTCCCATGGTGGCAGTCAATTAACTTAATTCTCGACACGTAAGTAGAGGGAATTACAACCATATGAAGTGCTATAGAATGAGGTAAGCAGTGCCGTGTGGGCATAAAACAATGATATTGATCATCATGATTAATGGAAATTAAGAGCATAATATGTATAGTAACCCCCCTTATCTGCAGTTTCACTTCCCACAGTTTCAGTTACCTGTGGGCATCTGTGGTCCAAAAATAGTAAATGCAGAAGTTCCAGAAATAAACAACTCATAAGTTTAAATATATATATATATATATATATATATATTGATTTTAGAGAGGAAAGGAGAGGGAGAGAGAGAGATAGAAACATCAATGATGGGAGAGAATCATTGATGGGCTGCCTCCTGCACACCCCCTACTGGGGATCAAGCCCAAAACCCAGGCATGTGCTCTTGACCAGAATCAAACCTGGGACCCTTCAGTCGGCAGGCCGACACTCTATCCACTGAGCCAAACCAGCCAGGGCCATAAGTTTTGAGTTGTGCAGTTGAGTAGTGTGATGAGACCTCGTGCTGGGCTGGCCCATCCCTTTGTCCAGCACATCTACACGATATAGGCTTCCAGCCCATTCATCACTCAATAGCCGTCTTGGTTATCAGAGGTATCACAGAGTGAGTGTTCGAGTCACCCTTATTTTCCTTAATAATGCCACCTCAGCTTTTATTATGGCATGTTGTTAAAATGGCTCTACTTTATTAGTAGTTGTTGTTGGCAGTCTCTCACTGTGCCTAATTTGCAAATGAAACTTTATCATAGGTTGTACATAAAGGAAAAACATGCTCGGGCTCGGTACTGTCTGCAGTGTCAGGCATCGCTGGGGGTCTGGGAACGTACCCCCCGCCGATGAGAGGAGTTTTAAAACAACACCCGTTGCTGTCACATTGATTTCATGGATCAGGAGCCGGGCGGGCTCAGCTGAGCGCTCGGCTGAGGGGCTTGGGAAATGGAGATCGATCTTAGCTGGAGGCCACAGATGAGACTACCGTGTACTCCTCTGGTTGCTAGCATCATTCCTTTCATTCTCACGGTTTCCACGTGATCCCACCCTCTTCACGCCAGCAACCCAGGCCAATCCTTTGCCTCGTTTTCCCGTCACCTTTCCGCTCTTAGCATAGGGCTCACGTGGTTGCACTGGGCCCTCTCAGAAAATCCAGAGTGATCTCCCTATCTGAGCCAATTAGGAACCTGAATTACGTCTGCCAAGTCCTTTAGGCCCTATAGCATGCCCACAGTCCCATCTTCTTGGGGGCCATACTGTGTCTGCAACACACCTTTATCACATGGTATATCCGGTATGGCATCACTATGGTCATACCCTACAGCTGCCCGTGCTCTCTGCACCACAGGGTAGGATGTTCTTCACCCGCTTTGAGAATTTGTGAATTACAAATGGTCCCCACAACAGGCCCCAGCCCGTTACTATCTCCCCAGCCCTACTCCCCTTATTCTAACAGCATGGGGGCACTTCTTCCATTCTTTCTTGGCCCGGGAATAGCATCACAGTGAGCCACTTCATCACATCAGGCTAACTCACTCACAGCCCGTCTGTACGATGCATCTTGTGTGGAGTCACAGACCACCTGTTCCCAAGGCTGCATGGCCGTCCAGGGCGTGAGTGTGCTGCAGGCACTGCACCCACCCCTGCTGGTGGGCATCGGGGTGTTCCTACAGCAGCCGCTGCCATGAACACAGAGTACCTGTCTTCCTGTGAATAGTCATGGTCTCCCGGGGACACAAGGCTAGGCATGGCACTGCGGGCCGTCATGGTGAGCAGACTGGTGTCCACACTGTCTGTTTCCGCTCCTCGGCAGCGTGTGTGAGTGGTGAGGCTTCCACATCCTCCCCGACGCCAAGTGTCACAGAGGCGGGGTGGGGGCTTTCATTTCACTCAGAGAGGGACATACGTATCCACACATGACAAGGGCTGTGAGCCCCCCAAAGATCTAAGAAAGGCAGGGAGGGCTGAGAGCCCCACCATGTTAGGAACCGACTTCCGGCCTTAAGCGTCCTCCCCTTTTGGCGGGCACCATGGAAGACAATAGGACGAACCACATTTCCCTCCTCACGAATGGGTTTGCCCTGCCGAGGAGGGACGTGGGGACATTTCTCCCCTCCGATTAGCTGACAAATTCAGGGGCCGCAGAAGGGGACTCCTAGGGGCGTCTCTGGCATGCAGGCTCCACGGGGGTGTTTACATTCAGAGCCCGACTTTGTTTTGAAACGTTTGCAGATCCCAGATGCCTCAGCAGTTGGTGCTGTAAAAAAATGTGTCAACAAACATGTCACACACATTTGCAGTGTCAGCTGCCTGGGGAGGCAGAATGGTCCCCAATAGCCCAGGGATTCCAATGTGGGGGATGCCCTGCCCCCACCTGTCCCTGCCAGGAACCTGGATGTCACAGTTTCCTCCTTTACCCACTCACCTCTCACCTCTCACCTCTCAGCCAGTCAGAGCCGCAGCTCTGCATCTCCCATGTGATTTTTCCCAGCAGCCCCTCTCCAACTGTTCTTCCCTGCACGTCCATGCTCATCTCCTCCAGACCATCTCAAACTGCGCTGTGCTAGAACCCGTTCCAGGTACCCGCTGCCTTCAAGGCACATCCCAGACTCCTCCGCTTTAAGTACAAAGCTCCTCGTGGCCTGCCTCCTGCTTCTTCAGCTTTATTTCTTGACATTTGTTTATCGGCCAGCTCTTGATTGAGCACCTACTGTGTGCTGGCCACTGCGCTGCTGCTGGGATAGGATGGTGAGATCGCAGTCTGGATCACAGTGTGACCTAGCTCAGCAGAGGACTGGACTGGGCAGGGTGACTGGCACAGTCCTGAAGAAACGGCAGCTGACTGCCAGAGCTCAGCGGGTGCACCCGGACATCAGGCTGGGGACCATTGGCTGACATCTGGGGTTTTCCAGATTCTCAGCTGGAGACGTGCTCAGGCAGTGGCTGTGGTATTTGACTTATCCTGGGCACGTTCCCACCAAGTCATTGAAATCCTGAGAAAGAGCTCAGGACTCTTTGTACCCCATCACATCACTCTGAGGCCCCCACATCATCACTTCAGGGGGCTGGGAAACATGAAGCATGTCCCCTGGGTCCATGTCTGGGTCCTGATACACTGTCTTATGTTGCCAGTGCCATCTCTTTGCCATACCACTGGAACGAATGATGAGCACAGTCTGACATGGGGCAGCTGGCCTGGTCATGGAAGAGGCGTGCCATCCCTCTGACCACCGGGTCTTCCCACCTGGTGACTGCCCTTCAAGACCGTCCCACTGGCTCCTCACAAGCACCGGGAAGGGTCCCTCTTCTGGCATCTGAAGGCCAGAGAGGTTGAGTAACCTGCCCGAGGCATCCGAACCGCTGATACCAAAGCCCGTGCTCTGCACACTGCGCGTGAGGGCGGCTGAGTCTGAGGGCAAGTGTTCCAGAAACCTGTCCTCATTTGATTCGGCTGCCCGATGTCCCAGATCTCCTCTGTTCCCGCTGTCACGCTTTGTCAGACAGGAACATCACCCACACATCTTCCCTGGGCCCAGAAAGGCAGCCAAGCTGCCAGCCAGCCCGCCGTCCCGGGTGAGCCGCGCCACCCCCGCCGGTGATGGTGCTCACCTTGATCCTCAGGTCGTGACGGGCTTGGCTTCTCAGGGCCCAAAGGAAATGCCCCTCACAGGACCCTACAGGCCAGCCATGGTCCCCAGGGGACACCAGGCAGACTCATGTCCATCATTAACATCGGGCAGGGCTGCCTGGGTGTCTGGCAGAGGCTGGAATCTGAGGTCTGCAGACCTGGCTTTGAGATGTGGTTCTGCCCTTTCTTGTCTGTGTGACTTGGGTCAAGTTGCTTGACCTCTCTGGTCCTCAGTTTCCCCCACTCTGCAGTGCGAAGGGTTAACTTCCCCCACTTCTTATCCTAGTCCGGAGTGTAAACCTGCCACAGTGTCTATCGATCAGAGCCCATTTCCAAACAGCCAGGAAGCTGAATTCGCCCCCTGCCCCCCTCCTTGGGTTTTCTCCTGTGCAGTGATGCCACCATTTGGATTTGCTTTGAGTTAATTACACCAGCTGTGTCCGAGAGAGTGGTACCCGAGAAGTCCCCAGGTCCCAGGCTCGCCCCATCCTCCCTCTTTTTTTAATTAAATCTTGTTATTTTAGACTAATTTCTGACTTACAGACAAGTTGTAAAGACAGTTCTTATCTACTTTTCACCCAGCTCCCCCCAATGCTGACGCCTCGCCTCTCCATGGTACCCTTGTCAAATTAAGAACTTAACCTTGGTGCATTGTGTACGACAGACTTCTTTCCTGTTTCCCCGGTTCTCCCACTGCTGTCTGTCCTTGTTCCGGGTCCAATCCAGGATGCCACGTTGTACTCAGTACCAACCCTTTTACAACCCAACCCCGATTCCTGTGGATCTCACCATCTACCACGTGCAGACCCCGCCCAGACTCTGCCCAGGCCTGCCAGGGGACTGGCTGAACCTCTGGGGGGTGGCTGCGCCCTTATTCCGTCTGCATTTCCACCCGTGTCTTTGCTACGATGGTGGACACATGTCCTTATGCGTTTGTGCCAACCCATCAAATGTAGGAGACTGAGAGAGAACCCTGATGGAAAACTGTACCCTTTCAAACACCGTTTTACTGGCCACGGAACGTCACCCCGAACTAAAATGGCTTAGCTTGCGTAACCTACCGTGGGCATTTGGAAAGCCTCTCCTTTGTGTTGTTACAAATAACACTACCCGAATAATGTAGTGGGTAGCATTTGTCCACGTTTGAAGTCGTTTGTTTAGAGGAGGCCCGGAGAGGAGGCGACAGGGCCAGAGTATAAAATAGCGTACGGCTCTCCACACACACTGACACCTCTTGGGATTGAAACTTCTGCCCTGACCGGTGTCCTGCCAGAACTGGTCATCTTTCTCTCCTCTTTAGGAAAGCATTGGAGGCCAGGCTGGTGGGGAGATGTGGGGCTGCAGGCCCTGTGTGTGTCCCTAACACTGGCACGTGGACACCAGCAGCCATGCGTGTGTCTGGAGCTGCTCTTGTTCAGGCGTGAGACCACAATAATCTGGGATTATCCCTTGGCCAAAAATGGTTTTAAGAAAATGTTGACCAGCCGTAGCTGGTTTGGCTCAATGGATAGAGTGTCAGTCTGCGGATTGAGAGGCCCAGGTTCAATTCCAACCAAGCACACATGTCTGGGTTGTGGGCTCGATCCCCAGTAGGGGGCATGCAGGAGGCAACCGATCAGTGATTCTCTCTCATCATTGATGTTTCCATCTCTCTCCCTCCCTCTCCCTTTCTCTCTAAAATTAATAAAATATATTTTTTAGGAGAAAGAAAATGTCAACCAGCATTTTAACGTTGGGCAATTTCCCCTAAAATCTTCATTTCCCTTTCGTTTTGAAGCGCGGAGGCTCTGGCTGCCTTGGCCTGCGGCCCTGCTCCGCAGTCCCACCCTGGGACAAACAAGCTCTTAGTAACCGCCGCGCCTCCTCACCTCCCCACGATCAAAAGCGGGTCTGTTCAGCATCAGGCTGGCCCTGCTGAATTCCTCGTGGAGAGAAATACTTCTCTCCACCCACATCTATCAAAATTAGGGGGGAGAGGAGTCAACAGAGAGAGTCTGGGTCATTTTCTAACACTGCCTTTCTCATACCCAGCCCATCCTGTTTGTTTAGCCAGCGCCCTCACAAGACTGCTCTCCTAAGCTCTGCTCCATTTCAAAGCTCTAGAGCAGCTGCTGCCCTGTGCCTTTTTTCCATATTTATTTAATTACAGTCTGATCCACATGCTGTCACATCCATTCTTTATGTATAGCCATATGAGATTTGCCAAAGGCATAGTCACACAGTCACTGTCAAAATCCAGACACATCTAGCCCTGGCCTGTGGCTCAGTTGGTTGGAGCATCATCCCATACACCAAAAGGTTGTGGGTTCAATTCCCAGTCAGGGCACCTACTTAGCTTGTAGATTTGATTGCTGGCTGGGGCGAGTACCGAAGGCAACTGATTAGTGTCTCTCTCTCTCTCTCTCTCTCTCTCTCTCTCTCTCTCTCTCTCTCTCTCTCTCTCTCTTCCTCTCTAAAAATTAATAAAAACATTTTTTTTTACTCCAGACAATTTGCACACCATGTTTATGGCAGCACTATTTGTAAGACCAAAGCATGGAAGCAGCCCAGTGTCCATTGACGGATGAATGAATAAACAGAATGTGGTCTTATCCACACAATGGAATATTATGCAGCCTTAAAAATGGAAGGAAATTCTATTCCATGCTACAACATGAATGAACCTGGAGGACTTTATGCTAAATGATCACAAGCCCATCACAAAAGGACGAATACTGTATGATTCCACTTACATGAGGCCCCCAGAGTTGTCAGATTCATGGAGAGAAAGTAGAACAGTGGTTGCCATGGGCTGGGAGAGAGGGGATGGGGACTTAGTGTCGTTCAGATACAGAGTTTCTGTTTTATAAGAGGAACCAGTTCTGGAGATGGATGGTGGTGGTGGCTACACAACAATGTGACTGTACTGAACACTACTGAACTGTACACTTAGAGTGGTCACTATGGTAACTTATGTTATGTGGTGTTACCACATTTTTTAAGGATCCAGACATTACAATTTACCCCCCAAACATTCTCCCAAGCCCGTCTCTCCCTGTGGTCCCTCCTTTTCCAGAACGTCCTATAAATGGAGCCTTTCTGTGTGTGGTTTTGGTTCCAGCTTCTGTCACAAGGCATGAGGCTTTGCAATTCTTCCTTCTTCTTCTTGCTCTTGCGTGTGTCAGTATATTGTTCCTCTTTATTGCTGAGCAGTAGTCACAGTGTGCGCAGACCACAGCTCATGTGTCTTTTCCCCAGTGCGGGGACATTGGTGTTGTTTCCAGATTTTGACAGATACAAACAAAAGCCACTATAAACATTCCCATTTATTCAGGTCTCTGTGTGAACACCGACTTTAATTCCACATAGGCAGACTCCTAGGTGTGGCACTGCTGGGTGCATATGTGTTTAACATGACAAGAAACGGTCAGACTGCCTCCCAAAGTGGCCGCACCACGTTACCATCCCAAAGGCAGTGAGTGACCGTTCTAGGTGCTCCCCATCCTTGTCAGCACTTGTTATTGTCCATTTCTTCATTTTTAGCCATTTTGATGGATTTTTAAAAATTATATCATAGATTCACATGAAATTGCAAATAATAATAATAATAATAGTACAAATAGGTCCCTTGTACCCCTAGCCCCATTCCCCCCACAGTAGCATCTTGTGTAATAATAGTGCTATATCACAACCAAGAAACCGGCACTTCTTTTTAAAACCCAGAGAAATCCTAATGGGTTTCTCTAAAAGTGAGGGGAGTCCAGCCGGTGTGGCTCAGTGGTTGAGCATTAACCTATGAGCCAGGAGGCCACTGTTCAATTCCTGGTCAGGGCACATGCCCGGGTTGCAGGCTTGATCCTCAATGTGGGGCCTGCAGGAGGCAGCCAATCAGTGATTCTCTCTCATCATTGGTGTTTCTCTCTCGCCCTCTCCCTTCCTTTCTGAAATCAATAATAAAAAATACATATTTAAAATAATAATAAGCCGAAACTGGTTTGGCTCAGTGGATAGAGCATCAGCCTGCGGACTGAAAGGTCCCGGGTTCAATTCCAATCAAGGGCATGTACCTTGGTTGCAGGCACATCCCCAGTAGGGGGTGTGCAGGAGGCAGCTGATCGATGATTCTCTCTCATCGATGTTTCTAGCTCTCTATCCCTCTCTCTTCCTCTCTGTGAAAAATTAATAAAACATATTTTAAAAATAATAATAAAATAAAATAATAATAAGCAAATAAATAAAAGTGCGGGGAATCCATCATTCCAGCGCCGGCCCACCATCAGCCTCTGGAGCCCGTTCCTGTGAGCAGCATGGTGGGTGGGCAGGGAACTGGGCCAGGCCTGAGCATCACTGTCTGTCTGGGCCTTTTTGCAGAGCACGTTCATCAACAGACCTGCCCTGGGGATCCTGCCGCCGGAGAACTTTGTGGATAAGCTGCAGGAGTCCTTGCTCTCGGTGAGTGGTGAGTCTGTGGGGCCAACCTCCGCTGCGGGGACCCCCCACACACCCCCCCCCGGCCCAGGCCCAGGTCCTCCCACTGCAAAGGCAGCACTGAGCCCCCGGAGGCGGCCCCGGAGGAAGGACAGGATTGGGAGCCTTGCAATCAGGATGGGGGGTTTCTGTTTCAGTCTTCGTTTCTTTCACAAAGAGCATTTTTACTTTTCCCTTCGAAGAAAAGAAGGGATACCTTGTGTGCAGGGAAAAGGGAACTCGGGAAAAATTAATGTTTGTCCCCAGTCAGGAGGTTTGCACGTTATGCAGCCCCCCTCGATGTTTTGGTGTTAGTTTGCTACAACAATTAAGATCATTCAGAACCTCAACTTCTCACCTGCAAAATGGGCTTCTCTTCGCCCTTTTTTCCTCTCTGCCCTCCAGCCTGGGTTTCCCCACCCCCTGGAAGAGCCAAAGTCCAGTCTCCCAGACCCACAGCTTCCACTGGGATACCCCTGGTTGTGTCCCAGCCTCCCTGTGCTCCCCACAGCTCCCACTGGGAGAGGGGGAGTAGAGATGGCACTGAGCCCACAGCTGTTTCTCTGCCTACAGGTGGCTCCCAAAGGCATGTCCCAGCTCATTACCATGGCCTGTGGCTCCTGCTCCAATGAAAACGCCTTCAAGACCATTTTCATGTGGTACCGGGTAAGGTCTGCGGCCCAAAGACACACACACACACGCGCGCGTGCACACACACACACACACACACACACACACACCACAGAGGCTCCCCAGCATCCAGCCACATACTCACCCCTAGCCCTGCTGTTCGTCCCAGCTGGCCAGAGTGCTGGACACCAGTGACCACACTCAAAATCCAGAGAAGGCCCCTCCTTGGTAGGAATTTCCAAAGATGCGGGTGGGGAATGGCGCAGAGAGCCAGGGCTCCTGCACCAACCTTACCTACTGTCATTACATGGTTCTACCTGGAATAACATGTCTCAGCAGATCTTAGGTGCTGGTAGAAGAATGATGCACCTTGTGTGTTCATCTATTTATTTCACCACAAGGACAGTTAACAATCTCACACTTCAGTACATACGGGCAACGATCATATCGAACAGACTCAAGAAGGGTCCAGGGCTTTCACTGGAAATAAAAGAACAAAAGTTCATCCAAGCGTCTTAAGGTTTGCAAACCAGAAACGCGATGAGGTCATACTGAGTGCTCCGAAGGAGAGAGGAGTCTGCGAGTTTTATAAGACAAAGTACCTTCTTGAGAAGAACCAGTTCTGCATTCCAGCCCCTGGGTTGGTCCGCGGTCATAACTTTCAGATGTCTGGCGGTCTAGACGATGTAACCTTTCCTTCTTGGGGTCATTCTGAAGGTTTGATACATGTCCTCAAGAAGGCCATGATGCACAGCAAACACACTGGGTTCAAAAGTTTAAGTTCCCACTTTGTTCTTCAGTCACACATAAGATCAGCGCTTGAGCGAGCACTCTCGGGTTGTCTGGCTAGCTGTGGGCGAGTGGAAAGTGGGAGCCTCTCCGCCCCAGAGCGTCTCTGAGATTTCGTTCTGTTCTGTTTCATCAGAACAAAGAAAGGGGTCGAGCGGGTTTCTCCAAAGAGGAGCTGGAGACATGCATGGTCAACCAGGTAGGTGGAGTGGGTCCCTTCTCCTTGGGAGGGAGCTGCCACAGCCCTTCAGACGGACGCTAGTCAGTGGACTCTGTCCTCAGTCAGCGCAGGCTGCCATGACCAATGCCATAGACAGGCCGCCTCGACAAATGCGCTCACAATGACAGGGTTAAAGTCCAAGATCCAGGTGCCAGCAGGCTTGGTTCCCCTGGGAAGACTCTCTTCCTGGCTTGCAGGCAGCTGGCTGCCTGCTCACTGTGTGTCTCTCTCCCCCTATCCCCAGCCCCATGTCAGCGAGTTAGCAAGCTCTCTTGTGCCTCATTTTATAAAGACACTAATCCCATCATGGGGGGCCCTCATGACCTCATCCAATCCTAATACCTCCCCAAGGCCTCGTGTTCAAATACCATCGCATTGAGGTTAGGACTTTGACATATGAGTTTGGGGGATAAACAGTCAGTTTATCCCATCAAGGGGTCCCCAAACATTGTGCCTCCCGAGTCCCTTCCCTTGGTATCGAGAGAAAAGGAGCTCTACCTGACCAGGACGACCGTTTCCCAGGGCAACTGCGGAAGGTAACCCGTCAGAGGAGGCTTTCTGTATTCTCTAGGGCAAACTGCTCTATTGACTAATGAGTTTGCTGACCACTGGCATAGGGTCTTAATCACTGCCTGTAATTATTGGAATCAAAAGCCTAGGTCAGTGGTCAGCAAACTCATTAGTCAATAGAGCAGCAAACCCCGGTTTGCGAACAGCAGTTTGCCAACCATTGCTCTAGGGCAGTGTTTCCCAAACTTTTGCCATATGTGTACCCCTTCTATAATTTTCGTAACGCTGAGTACCCCTCGTACTCATGAGAACGTAGAATTAGGCACCGCTAAGCACGGTGCAGTGCATATCCCCACCAAACTCCGGTGCAACGCGTACCCCCACCAGACTCTTCCCGTACCCATGGGGGTACACATACCACACTTTAGGAAACACTGCTCTAGGGTAATCCAGAATGTCAGCACCACTGTACGTACAAGGTCTTCACCCCGTGGAGTGCTTAGTGTAACGGTAACCAGAAAGCCTAGGAGCCCCTACACCCAGCAATGGGGAAGAGGGGTGAAGTGTAGGGTTTCAAAGGCACCCAGGAGGCCACTGTGGCGGCAGGGACCTCAGGGAAAACCAGGTAGGGAGGTCCAAGCTTGCAGCCAGCCTCAACCAGAGCACACCTGCCCTCCCCCTTTCGCTTATGGGGTCCCGTTATGATTTAGGCAGAAATGTCTGCTGATTAAAAAGAATCAAGGGCCACTGAACTCAATTACGCACCGCGTACAACTACAATATCCTGCAGCAAAAATCGTTAGAAAGGGCTTCTCTTTGCTTGGAAACGCCCGTGCTATCATTTAGTGAAAACAGTGGAGTATAAATCGTATGGACACTAAATAAATACACAGGAAATTACTACAAGGAATCCTGCTAACATGTTTACAATGGGATGCCTGTGGGTAGTGAGATTGTACTCTTTCGTTTTTTTTTCTTTTGTGCCTTCTTAATTTTTGATTCCTAGTCCCGCCTCTTGCTAGCAATAGATCCATACCATGCTCCATAGTCATACAAACCTGTGTAAATGTAAGCTTTTTCTTTTTTCTCCTGGCCATTTTTTAAAGTAAATTTTTATTGATTTCAGAGAGGAAGAGAAAGATAGAAATATTAATGATGAGAGAGAATCATTGATTGCCTACATCCTGCACATTCCCTACTGGGGATTCAGCCCGAAACCCTAGCATGTGTCCGGAATCAAACCCGGGTCTCTTCAGTCCATAGGCTGATGCTCTATCCACTGAGCCAAACCAGCTAGAACGCTCTTGGCCATTTTTTTATTTTTTTTTAAGAAATGGATTGTGGCCTGTCTCTTTCTCAGTTGATATCTATGGACATCCTAGTCCACCAATATTTTTGCATCTTATTCCTCCTGTTTAATCTGTAGCCAAAAAGTGTGTGATGATGTGTATATATTATATTTATGCAAAGGAACAAGAAAAATGTTTCCCTTCCTTCCCAAGGGGAAACGAAAGGCAGTATACTGTAGTCTGTAGGCGGAAGTCTTAGAGCTTTCTCCTGGGTCTCAGGCACCTGGTGGACATCAGCCAGCCAAGAGCATGCTGGATCAAACTCCCAGTGGCTAGGGGCCCCCATGGTTGCCCCTGCAGCATCCTCAGTACTTCTGCCTGAGTCAGCTACAAACACGTGTGACTCCTGGCCAGGTGGAGGGTCAGGAATCTGCAGTTGTGCCATCCATGGGGGCAGGGAGGGGACTGAGAGTTCAGGTGTCCCTCCTGAACACAGGGGCAGCCGCCCTGGGGAGATGGAAAGGCAGGGGTCCTCCCTGCCCAGCCTCCTGCTCTGGCATCCATTCCCTGTGAGGTGCCCTGCTCAGCCTCATGTGGGAGGCACCTGCTGCACATGGCCCACCTGGTTGCTGTAGAAACCAGAGCAGGCTGGAGCAGGGGATGGGGTGGGGGGGAGCCTGTAGGAGCTGGAAGAGCCTGCAGTCAGGGGTTGAAAATTCAGAAGCCCCAAGCAGCCGGGCAGATGGCGGGAGGTGGCAGGTGGCAGCAGGTGATGTAAAGGAGAAAGGCGGGCAGTGGGCCCTGGAGCAGCGCGCTGGCCCAGACGTTAGGCTTGGGTGACAGCATGAGCCCAAATGGTGCAGAACCTAAGAGAAGGCAGTTCAGATAGATACATGGAGTCTCTTGATTAAAATGCTTTGCCATGTGGGCAAACACCTGTTGCCTGGCTAGAGAAGTGGGGGGTCCAGGCTGTGGCTTTGGTTTGAGGAGAGTTACCCAGTTCTCTCGATAGACTTAGGCACTCCTCCACGCTTTCGGGGGCAACTTCAGAGCCCCCCACTTCTCATGGCTGTGACTGATGACTGCTTTCCTGTTTCTAGGCCCCTGGCTGCCCTGACTACAGCATCCTCTCCTTCATGGGCGCATTCCACGGGAGGACCATGGGTAAGGAGGGGCCACTGGGTCCCGAGTGGCAGTTAGAGAAATAATAGCAGCAATAATATCGGAGGCGGCTGCCTTTGATCTTGGCCGTTTTCCCACCTCATCTCACTGACAGCACACTGCGCTGCGGGGGGGGGCGGGGGGGGGGGGTAGGGGGTTATTGCCACTTTGCAGGTGGGGAAATGGAGGCACAGCAAGAAGAGAAACATTCAAGGCCATGCAGCGGCAAAGCCAGGATTTGAACCTTTGTCTCTGCCTTCAAAGCCTGTGCTTAATCGGTGATGAATGAGAAAGCAACACATACACACACACACACACACACACACAACACGCACGCACACACATAAACACACACACACTTCACGGGTTCTGCTTCGGCTTCAGGCTCTTATGGGAACTGGGAGTTCTGCAGGCAACAGGCCTCCCAGGCATTGGAGGGCTTGATTTGAAATGCCCATCTCCATTTTGAAGACCGTTCACTGCACTCCCCCAAACCAACGATTCTCTGTTTTGGGGGGGCAGGTTGCTTAGCGACCACACATTCCAAAGCTATTCACAAGATCGACATCCCTTCCTTTGACTGGCCCATCGCACCATTCCCACGGCTGAAGTACCCTCTGGAGGAGTTTGTGAAGGAGAACCAGCAAGAAGAGGCCCGCTGCCTGGAAGAGGTAACAGGGGACCTTCCAGACCCTCCCCCGCCCCCACCCCCGTGCTCTCACCACCCCAAGACCTCGCCTGGAGAAGAGGAACAACGAGCTTACCCGAGCCTGCATGGCTCTCCCGGGAAGGGACATAGGGACGAGAGGCCCCCTAGCCCAGTGTTTCATATCGGGGAGGTAACGGCACCGTTGATTCTGCCAGCCAGCATCCATCAGCCCGCTTCCGGTACCAACTTCAGCATCACTCACACTTTTTGGAGGTGAGCGTCAGCGACTAGACTAGAGAAAGTGAATGGATGGGCAGAACAGGGGCAGCTCGTAGGGAAGATGGCTGCACAGGTTCCTCTGGTCCAGTATTGGTTAGCCTTCTCTCGGATCTGAGGCTGTTTTGAGAGCCTTGGGGGGCAGGGGGCAGGGGAGCACTGAGAACGTGTACCCCTGTTGCCTCCACTTCAACCAGAGGAGCCCCTTTTGATCTGTCCCACGTACTGGGGTTCCATGTAAGTCTCCAGAAGGGTGCTGTTGCTGGGGGAAGTGGCTTTCGCTCTTCAGGTTGAGATTTGAGCTCAAATAAGGCTGCTCTGAGGCTGGTTTGCCTCGTAGGCACATCTTTCTTTTCAAATACTAGTTAATGCCTACTGGGTAGGAAGCGAAGTGCAAGGTGCTGGTGTTTCATGGTAAGCAAAAGAGACAAGATAATGGATAAAAGAGACAGCCTGTCCAACAGGAAGATGAGGCAAGCCACAGAAGTTATTACCACTTTCTAATAATTACATTTTGTAAAAGTAAAAAGAAATGGATGAAATTAATTTCAGTAACATTTTACGGAACCCAATCCATCCAAAATAGTATCATGTCAGAATGTAATTAATGCTTACAAAGAATTGATGAGAGATTTTCTCTTCTTGGTGTTAAATCTTTGAAATCCCGTGTGTGTTTTACACTCAGACACGTCTCAGTTTGGACCAGTTAACATTGCTCATGCCAGCAGCCACGTGTGGCTCGTGGCCATCTTACTGGAGAGTGCAGGGCAGTAGGAACCCCAGCACCGAACAAATGAGAAAGTAACCCCGTGATGAAACTTGCAAAGGGTTCTCTGAAAGCAGAGAGAAGAATTCAGAGCTCCCTGGGGGAATGGTGGAGACCCAGCCTAAATCCCGTCCTCCGAGCAGGCGGCTTTCCTTAGCGCTGCGTAACGGAGAAAGATTGCCCTTGTTATTCTATCCAGGTGGACGGTTTAGTGCTTTTTAATTATGTATAGTTATTAAGTTATGAATGAAGTACCATAATTACTACTCTTTATTATCTATAAGATGATGCCCATATTAGAACAAGAATTTAAGAAATAAAACTACTTAGAGATTGTATGCTTTCCATACAAGCCCGCCACTGTTAACAGATTCTTAAAAAAAAAACCAATTTCAACTTTACTAACATAATTTACATGCCATAAAATGCACTCATTTGAATGCCTAGTCCAGCCTTAGCTGAAGATAGAGTGTCAGCCTGCGGACTGAAGGGTCCCAGGTTCAATTACAATCAAGGGCACATGCTTCGGTTGCAGGTTCAATCCTCCTAGTCTGGGCCCAGTCAAGGTGTATGTGGGAAGCAACCAATTGATGTGTCTCTCTCACAGTGATGTTTCTCTCTGTCTTTCCCTCTCTCTTCCACTCTCCCTAAAAGTCAATGGAAAATATATCCTCAGGTGAGGATTAACAACAACAAACTAGTAATAATAATATTAAATGCCTAGTTCAATACGTTTTGGCAAATAAATGTACTCAACTAACCATCGTTTCCATCCAGGGCACCTTATCACTTGGGAAATATCTTTGAGTCAGTCTGAGGAGTCGGTCCAGGACCCCCATCCTCACTCCTACCCCCTCTCTGTGCAACCATTGCTTAGATTTCTATCACTGTAGATAAGTTTGGCCTCAGATTTTTTTTTAAAAAATATGTTTTTATTGATTTTTAGAGAGAGAGAAAGGGAGAGGGATGAAGAGGTAGAAACATCAGTGAGAGAGAAACATCATTGATCAGCTGCCTCTTGCACGCCTCCCACAGGGGATCAAGCCCACAATCCAGCATGTGCCCTGACTGGGAATCGAACTGGTAACCTCTTGGTTCCTGGGTCAACACTCAACTGCTGAGCCACACCGCTGGGCCTCAGCTTTTTATCAAATTTTCATCCCACGTTCTGCACAAAAAGGGCTCTCCTACCAATAATAATATAACAGTAACAACAATAGATTATGTCAGCATGCCCATTACACAGATTGGGAAGTGAGACTTCAGAAAGTTAAATAATTTGTTCCAGGTTAGCAGTCTGTATCCCGCAGGGGCGGGCCCAGTCCTCAGTAGGCACATCCCCATCCACATGCGTGGCTCCGAGTGGGTATCGCAGTCTTCACCGGAAGTGCACACAAATGCATTTTCACCATAACTTCAGGGGGGAGGCATGGGACCCCGCATGCCCAACCATGGGTGCTGTCAGGAGCCTCCACGAGCCACTGTAACTTCTCATGTGGAATCCAGGTGGAGGATCTGATCGTGAAATACCGGAAAAAGAAAAGGACGGTGGCCGGGATCATCGTGGAGCCCATCCAGTCCGAGGGCGGAGACAACCACGCCTCCGACGACTTCTTCCGGAAGCTGAGAGACATCTCCAGGAAGGTCAGTGCACAGGGCCAGGATGGACGGGGCCACAGGCCATTTCCAGCCGGTTTCCCAGAGCACAGGGTAGCCTTGGGGCCTTATAAACTCCCACGTGTTCGGAGGCTGCCTGTTGGCCTCACCGTAAAGAATATAAGGGTAGGGAAAGGTCGGAGAATTCTTCCCTGAAATCGTTTTTTGTAAAACCAACCTCTGTCCAGCCTGCCGTCTTAGTCAGAGGCTTTCATCATCAACAGATTCCAGGGAAGGCCGCAGCCTCCACCGTTTTCTTCCTAAAAACCCCACCTTATCCTCAGCCCAGTGTGGCCCACATTCAACAGAGGCAACACGAACGGACTTTGTGTTAACATTGTGTTTATTTTAATGCCTGGCATGGACAAATGGCACATCCAACCAGCAAGGTCACAGATGAAGGTTGAATGCCATGGCTTGATTTTAAACATAAACACGAAGTAAATCACAGTCCTGGAGATGACAGATACTAGGGAAACGGGGATGACAGATGTTAGGGAAACAGAGCTGGCTGTGCTGCTGAGCTATGTCTCCCCCTGAGAGGGTTGGCTTGCTCAAGGACTGCAGCCAGGTGAGATGCTGCCATGTTCTGGTTGGTTCCAGCGCAGCAGCTGGAGGAACCCTGCAGACTCAGCTCTGCTGGAGCTGCCCCCTGAAGCTGTTGTTTGGTTTTTCCAAGAACATGGCCGTGGCTTGCAGTTCAGAAAGCAAGGCCTCTCCGGCTGGATGAGGGGGCCGGAGGTTGATCGATCGTGGGGAATGTTTATTTCCCCATCCTCTCTCTCCAGCATGGCTGTGCCTTCTTGGTGGATGAGGTCCAGACAGGAGGGGGCTGCACCGGCAAGTTCTGGGCCCACGAGCACTGGGGCCTGGACAACCCTGCAGACGTGATGACCTTCAGCAAGAAGATGATGACGGGCGGCTTCTTCCACAGGGAGGAGCTCAGGCCCAATGCCGTGAGTACCGCGCCCCCTCCACACACACACACACACACACACACACACACACACACACACACACTCTTTCCAGGGCAGGGGAGGGAGACATGGCTTTCTCAGAGCTGCTCCTTTCTCACAAACCAGGAACGGGGCGGACACTTACGGTGCCACAGAAGCCTTTGAAGGCCCAGTTCTTATTGATGCAGTTCGCCAGTGGTTATGATCACCCTGCTCTCTCTGCTGGGCTGGCTGCCTATCAGTACACTGTCAGAATTCTAAATTTTCTGTGTTCATAACTGCTGTGAACTGAGCATTTACTCTGAACCTGACCCAGTTCTAAGCACCCTCCATGTACTTTTAATCCTTACCACAATCTAACCAAGTAGGTGTTATCTATCTCTCCCATTTTACTAATGAGGAAACAGGCACAGGTGGTTAAGTAAGTTGTCCAAGGTCACACAGCCCATCTATTCTAATAAAAGGGTAATATGCAAGTTGTCACCATGCCCTCACCGTAACAACCGAAAGCAGGCTACATGGGGCAACCAGGACAGCAGGAGAGTTAGTGAGGGATGACCAGAGGACTGACCAGCAGGCTTTGTGGGGCAACAAGGCTGGTAGTGGGGGCAGTGAGGGGTGACCAGGCTGGGGGGGGGAGGGGTGAAGTTGGGGGCGACCAGGCTGACAGAGAGAGACAATGAGGGGTAACCAGGCCATCAAGGGGAGAAGTTGGGGACTACCTGGCCGGCAGAAGGGGGCAGTTGGGGAAAACCAGGCCAGCAGGAAGGGCACTAAGGGGCAATGAGGCCGTGTGGGGGCGGGGGGTGGGCAGTTAGGGGCGATCAGGCAGGCAAACTGAGGCAGTTAGGGGTGATCAGGCTGGCAGACTGAGGCAGTTAGGGGTGATCAGGCTGGCAGGGGAGGGCAGTTAGGGGTGATCAGGCAGGCAGGTGAGTAGTTAGGACCAGCAGTCCCGGATTATGAGAGGTATGTCCAAGGGGTCCCAGATTGGAGAGGGTGCAGGCTGGGCTAAGGGGATCCCCTTCCCCTGTGCACAAATTTTGTGCACTGTGCCTCTAGTTAAGTGATAAAGTCAGGATTCAAGCCCAGAGTCCTGCTTTTAGCTACTACACTGTACTACCAAGTGTAAATATGATTCTCATACACACACACACACACACACACAGTTATCAGGAGCTTAGGATCCTTCCTTCCACCACTCCTGCGTCGAGGATGCCTCATGGTCCAAAATGGCTCTGAAGCTGCAGACATCACATCCCAATTCGCTGCGGTAGAGGAAAAAGGGGGAAGCACAAAGTGACCCTCTCTTTATCTTTCATGGCCTTCCCAGAAATCCCACAACACTTCTCTCTCTAGCACTCTGATCAGATCTGTCACATGGCCACTCCTAACTGCAGGAGAGGCTGGGAAGTATGTTTTATATTGGCTGCACTGGCACCCTGAATAACTCATGGAGGAATACACTGGGTGGTCTTTGAGGGCCGGACTAGCATCAATCCACTCTCAAGTCCACTCCCTATGAGCTTATATCTTTTCTAGACAAATCACTTAACCTCTCAGAAGCTCAGCTTCCTCCTCTATAAAATGAAGATTATATTAGGGGCCAACTCTCTTGATCTCCCCAGGACTGCGGGGTTTCCCTGCACGCAGAGGAGTTGGCCTCCCAGATAGTTACATTCATAGGCACACCTCCCCACAGGGTTGTTGTTGTGGAAAGAATTCAATGAGACAATATGTGTTATCCAGCCCTTAGCAGATGCTCGCTGGGTTGGTTTCTCTCTTCTTAAATGGGGACAAGGTGTGTCTGGGGGAAGGGGTATCTGAAGGCTGTGCCCATGTGTGAACCTTTCCAACCCCCGTGCTTCGTTCCAGCCGTACCGGATCTTTAACACCTGGCTGGGGGACCCGTCTAAGAACCTGCTGCTGGCCGAGGTCATCAATGTCATCAAGCGGGAGGACCTGCTGAAAAACGCAACCCACGCCGGGAAGGCCCTGCTCACGGGGCTGCTGGACCTCCAGGTACCCACCCAGCGCGGCCACGCCCCAGCTCTCCCAGGACCCCGCGGGGCCCCCTACGCCCCAGCACAGCCTCTGAGCCCTTCCACACGGCATCCCACCCACTCCTCGGCAGGTGCAGAGGCAGGAGCTTCAGAGACCACCCCGGCCCCGGGCAGGGTGCCAGATTTAGCCAGTGACACAGGGCAACAGTTTCATTTGAAAAATGGCAACTTTTTTTTTATTTTTTTATTTTAGCATAAAAGTATACCCTATGCAACATTTAGGACATAGTTATACTAAAAGTTGTAAGTTGTTTATCTGAAATTCAAATGTAACGGGGCATCCTGAATTTTACCTGACAAACCTAACTCAGAATGATTTGAACTTGAGAAAAAACGATTATCCTCACTTTCTGGATGAGACAAGGGAAGTTTGGGAAGCTGAGCAGCAAGCAGAGGAGCCAGGTTTTAAACCCAGATCTGCCCAACTGCAAAGGCTCTGACGAGCTTAAGTGTGGCTGTTAAGACAAGAATTTCTTTTTCTTTTTGGGGGTGGATTTGCATTAAACTGAGGTTGGGCAGGAGCAGGCACTAGGAAAAGCCTCTGCAATGGATCAGGCGCTTCCTTCCGGCGGGGGTGCTCCTTCCCTGTCCCCCGGTGGGGCAGGGGAAGTGGCCCGTGTCCTTTATTCCCCTGGCTGATATCTGGGCCCTGGTTACAGATGTGGATGCAGCCAGGGCCCCGCTTGGTGGGGATCTGGCACTTCTGGGCTGTCACGAACACGGCTGCTCCCTGTGCTGATCTGAGAACAGGGTTTCCCAAAGTGGTGTCAACTGATGGTCCATGGCACCAACAGGAATCCCCAAATCGGAGTGCGGGTGAAGAAGGAAATTGTATTCAGTGCAAAACAGCTCAATTGTGATACAGCACGGCTGCGAGGCAGCCCTGGAACCAGGCCCCTCTCCAGCTAGAGAGCTCCACTCTGCTCCAGTCTGTGCCAGACTGCTCTGGCCCATGCTGGTCAGCTAGAGAAACAGTCTTCTGTCCTCTGAGGAAAGGGAAAGAAAGTGCACTCCCAAAGCCAGAGGGGAGCTGGCTTATCTAGTCAGAAGTCCCTACCCCTGGTCCCTGATTGGTCTGTCCTCAAAGTTTGATTGATCCAAAAGGCATTGTCCTGATTGGTCAGAATAGAGCCACTCTTGTGGGTTGGAGCTGTGCAGCTCCAATTGGATGGGGAAGCCTCATTCTATTGGTTGAAATAGGACTCCAGGAACTCCTTTACTGGCTCAGGTGTCAGGAACACAGGGCAGGCAGGTAGCTCACTGCAGAGGCAGGTAGTTCAGTAGAGGCTTCTCCCTGAGGTGCAGCTTGCATGAGAAGCCCCTGTGCAGAAATGGCTGCTGCTGCGGGGATGTTTGTTTGGTTGGTTGGTTTATTGTGTTTTTTAATCTGAGCCCAGTTAGCCACCAGAAGCCCTTTTTTCTCAGGATCCACAGTGGGTTCTATGTGAAGGATGATACTAAGGTGACCGGACATCCCGCTTTTGGCGGGACAGACCTGATTTTTAACAGTTTGTCCCACATCCACAGCCATTGAACCGGCTGGCACATAGGAGACAGGCGTTGATGCCAGCCTTGTTTCCCCCCTGCAGGCCCGGTACCCCCAGTTCATCAGCAGAGTGAGAGGACGAGGCACCTTCTGTTCCTTCGACGCTCCAGATGAATCCACTCGGAATAAACTCATTTCAATAGCCAGAAGCAAAGGTAAGGAGGCCAGAGGAGCTGTGCCCAGGTCACCCTGGTATGGGACAGGTGGTACACAGGACTAACAATACTCTGCGTGTTTTCCTCAAAAGAGGCTGTTACCAGGGGCATTGCTTTATACTGTTTATTCACTCACCAAGTGTTCACTGAGAAAGAAGACCGACACCAACCCTGGATCATGATGATGAACATGACCATGAGGCTCCTTTCCTTCAAGGAGCTTATGGTCTAGCAAGAAGGGGTGGCATGAAAGAGACTATTTCATAAACACCCAATTGCATTTATAGATCCTAGGAAAGAGGAAAGGGGCCTAAGAGAGTGAATAGCTGGAGGAATGTCCAGAAAATCCGGGAAGGCTTCCTGAGGAAGTAGCATTTTACCTTAAGCCTTGACAGATGGAAGGACTGGCCCAGTGAAGAAGGTCAGAAAGAGCATTCCAGGCAGAGGGGTGGGCATGTACTACGATAGGATGGAGCTGGAGAAACCGAAAGAATAGGGGATGGTGAGGGACCAATAGGCTAGAGGGAATGAAGCCAGGGAGGGGCTACCAGGCCACATCATGCCAGCCTGTGGGTCAGGTTTAAGATTCTGGACTTTTTCCTAAGAGCCATGGGAGGCCATCCAAGAGTTTTAAGTGGGGGCAGGGGGGAGATATAGTGGTGATATGAGTGCACCTACTATGTGTCGAGCGTGGTGTCTTTCACTTGTACCATAGTATGGAACCCCTGCACCAGCCTCCTCTTTAAAGGAGAAAGCTAAGTTTCAGAGACGCTAAGCAATTGGCATAAGGACACCCAGCATGTCAATGTGAGGTTGCCCTTTAAAATAAGCAAGTCTGTCCCTCCTCGGTGACAGGTCTGCTCATATGCCTGCTTCCGACCTGCCTCACTTTCTCTAATGTACTTATTTCCTTTCTCCACCACACCATGAGTCCTGGAAGGCAAGGACTTATCTCAGGATTTCTCTATCTTCCGACCCAGTTCAGGGGCAGCCGAGCAGACATTCGGAGTTCAAAGGAGAGAAAGAAGGAGGGAGGGAGGGGAAGATGGATGGGTGCGTGGAAAGAAAGATAGCCGGAAGCCCGGATAGAAGAGTGGCTTGGGGGTTCCCCGGGTGTAAGCAAGCATCCTCCTGGCTGTCACAGCCCGGGACTCCTAACCGGCCTCCTGCCATTTCTTTCAGGCGTGGTGTTGGGAGGCTGTGGCGACAAATCCATCCGCTTCCGCCCCACTCTGGTCTTCAGGGATCACCACGCACACCTGTTCCTCAATATTTTCAGCGACATCTTAGCCGACTTCAAGTAAAGAAGCCATTTCCACTCACTCTGCTCTGAGAAAGCCCTGATCTCAGCAGTTGTCAAATTGATTAGTTTGCCTAATTCATGTTTTCACTTAAAGTATCAGAGGCGAATGCATAAACTGAAGGGTGGTGTGTGGGAGGGAACGGTTTTGGTGGCTGGGGGGAGGGGAGAGGACGGAGGGACAGGCTTTGGTTTTCCTCCCTGCAGAGCCAAGGGTGCCCATCGGTAAAGATGCCAACTATTGGATTTAGGGCCAGAAAATCTGCTTGAGCCCCGGACAGAGTCTTGGGAAGGGCCGTGAGGGTCCTGGCCATGGTTCTGCCCAACCTTGACCCCAAAAGCATCTTTGAAGCCAGTCAGGGGAATGCTCTGGGGACTGGTGGCTGGGACTCCTGGGCTCCTGTCCCTCTCAAGTGCCATATTCTGTGATCATTGCTGCTCCCTCGCCCTGTGCAAACAAACATGCTTGTCCCTCACCCAACCTTTGGAGCCCTGAGCGAGCCCGCACAGTTCAGTGGAGGAGAGGACAGTCACGTGAAAGCAGGATTGTAGGGACATGAGAACTGAGCCAGGGGGTGTGGAGAGGGGTCTTCGGCCTCTGCAGCTTTGGGCCACTCCTCCCAGGGCAGCTGCGAATTCTAGTCTTGGACGGGGCTTTGGCGACTCCCCAGGTGGCATTCTGGATGGTCCTTACTTGCCGTCCTTCATTCCCCCAAGTTCACCCCCTGTTAAATGTGAACCGAGGCCCCTGGAAACAAACCTGCAGCCTGAGGAGGGGCACACGGGGACACCCAGGAGCTGCAGGGACAGAAGCATCAGCCTGTCTCCAGGAGCGGGAGCCCAGGGCCGGGGCAAGGCCCTTCCTCCTGTCTCCCAGGCCCCTAGCAGCTGCCCTCTGGACCCTCACCCCGGGGCTCTTCCTCTCGCTTTGGCTCACCCACCTGTGCTCCACTGCTGAGCAACCTAGGAATAGCTTAGCGGTTCCACCAAAGGCAGCCTAGCCTGTTGCTGAAGTAGATTTCTTCTTGAGGGGAGCATCACGAGCCCAAGGCGCCAGAGCTCCGCACAGGGAACAGCAGGCTGTAGGTTCGGGTGGTGACCCTGTCCTCGCCACTCCAAACCAGAGCTTTTCCTGACACAGACGGGTGTGGAGTCCCAGGCGCATGGCCTTAAAGGCTTAACTGCACTGTGGCTGCAGCTAAGGGGACTCCTCTGAGGCTAGGCATTCTGGGAACTGACTGAGTTCACCGGCTCCTATGAAGAGCACCCGGTAGTCCTAGGGTCGTGAGGGCTGTCTCCTGGGGAGAGGGAGAAAGTCTGCTTGTATCCTCTGTCCCAAAGGAAGCCATTGCCCCCAATGGTACTGCTGACGGTTTGGGAAGACAGTCATAGTCAGGTTCTCCTTCTAAGAACTAACCATCTAGAGACTTGGTCAGTCACTGTCTTACAGACACGACAGACCCGTGAGTCCCGGTTTGCTTTGAATTCTTGCAGTCAGTGCTAATCCATTGCTTTAAAGAAGTAGTTCTGCCGTGTCCAAGACCATTTACGCTGCCAGCTAAAAGGAGATGTATGCCCACCCCCCCTCTGTGAGGTTTCACTCATTTGCATATTTACTTATTCAATCCTTCATTCATGAAACTTGCGTTAAATACCTGCTCTGTCCCAGGCCCAGTCCTAACCACCAGGATTACAAATAAAGCATGGTCCCGGCCCGTAAGGGACTCACATTCCTAGACTCTTAAACCAATCATCAAAGCTGAGTGGCAAGTGCTGTAACAGAGAAGCATCCGGAAATTGGAGGGAGTGCCCCAGTCTGTCTGAGGGTCAGCAGAGGTTTTAAGGACAAAGTAATGTTTGAGCAGGATTTTGCAGAGTGAGCAAGAGTTCGCCAAAAAGCAAGGCAAGGAACAGTGGTGCAGAAAGGGAACAGCATGTGCAGAGACCTACCAGGTCCCAGTCCCACACCTTTCCCTGGGGACCCAGATCCCACGGGCAATAGTCCAGGAATCCAAGTCCTTATTGAACAAGAAAAACGCATACCAAACCACAATTCATCTTTCGGCATGAGTGTGATTTGTCCTGAGAACTTCAGCCCTGGATGCAAACATACAGTAAGATTCCTGGAGTCCAGAAGGTTTTTGAGCGAAGGCACAATCAGAAACCTGCCTCTCTGTGGTGGAGAGAGTGGCTTCAGTATTATGTTCTCTCCCCAGGGAACATTGACCGAAAAAATGGAACCACTCTATCTAGAAAGTCATTGCAAGGCTTACCCACTTCTTACCAAGGGAAGTCATTCTCATAAAACATTTTAAGCCATTTATCAAGTTCCTGTTGGCTCAGGGCCTGAGGGTTGCAGAGACATTTGCTTTTGGGGGTCAGGGGATGGCTGGAAGGATTTCGAGGAAAAGAATTCTCACGGAGCTTGAGATAGTAGGAATGTGGGAGGTGGTGAGAACTCAGGTGGGGGTGCAGTGGGCAGATTTCCACGTAGGGCGGAGCCTGGGGAGGAGTGCCGCTGTGGCCGAGGGGCTGGAGAGGGACCATCATATGTCAGTGCCATAGAGTTCAGTAAATGTCCCTAGCACATCTCGTCACTTTTACAGAACACAAGGTCCAGTGATAGCAAGTCTTAGTCCATCCTCCTTTTTATTATAAATGGGCGTTTTTTTATAATTTTTACTGACACTCAGTAACCATGCAAAATCGTGCACACTTAGGATATCTATATGTATCTATCTATCTAGTAGCTCATGGTACCATAGCTAGGAGCATCGCCGACCTGCGCATACAAAGTGATCTTGTTTACAGTATTCTGTTGACAGTGCCAATAAATGATAAACAAATTCACATGTCACAGTGTAACTGACGACCATATGCACAATTCTTCCATTCAATGTTTCCTGTGTTAATCAGTCTTGTTAAATTTAAAAAAATATATTTATAATGGAAACGTCGGAGTAAATGTGGCCTTTTTGTTTGGAAATGGTTTCAAGTAATTATTTGGCAAGTACTGCTTTTAAAGATATGATTTGAGGGAGAGGGGTAGGGAGAGAAACACATCAATGTGAGAGAGAAACATCGATCAGTTGCTCCCACATGTGCTCCAGTTGGGGATTGAATTGAAACCTGGGTTTGTGCCCTGACTGGAAATCAAACTTGCAAACCTCTTGTGCCCGGGACAATGCAAAGGAGCCACACCAGCCAGGGCTGGCAAGTACTTATTAAGCACCTATTATATACCTCTCAGAGAGGTCTTTGGGGAACATTCTAAGTCTGCATTGGATTTGGGTAGCACTGTGAGGCCCTTCATTTCAGGGTCCATCAGGGACATACCGGTGATAGGGATGGACAAGGTGTGGTCCTTACCCTCAGCTCACCTGGTGGGGCAAAAGTCACAGCAACCCAGCGTAAGGACGGGGTGTGTGTGTGGGGCGGGGGGGGACAGGAAGACCCTAGATGCTGTACACGCACAAAGGACAGACCCTAAGTTGGGGTGGAAGGTGCACCCTGAGCTTCCTCTTCAAGGCTGAGCAGGAACTGCTCCAGGGACTCAGAGGAGGGAGAAGCATTCCAGATCCAGAGAATGGCTCACTGAAGGCAGAGGCATTTCTGTGTTGAGCAGCATCACCAGATCACAAAGGGAGGGGAGCAGAACAGTCCAGAGATGAGGTCAGAGGGCCTCTGTGCTGTGCTAAGGGGTGGGGGTTGGGGGGCCTTCCACACAGTGACGGAGCCACTGCGGGTTTGGAGCAGGGGGATATTCCAACATGAGTTTTAGGAAGACTCTCCTGAGTGTTCACAATGACAGACAGGGTGGGGAGACTGGCCAGGGCACTGTCACAGTCTCGGGAACTTGGTGGTCTAATAGGACAACAATGGGATGGGTGGAGAGAGGGAGAGAGGTACACAATCCAAAACACACAGGACAGTGACTTTCCACACTGGATGCACTTTAGCGTTACCCTAAAGAGCTTCTCAAACAACCCCAATGCTGGGCCCCACCCCATACCAATTAAACCCGATTCTCTCCAGGCCCATTGGGGGCTAAGCCCATGACTGACTGGAATCAATGGGAGGCCCAGAGAGAGGCTCAGGAAGCACCTTGAGCTGGACCTTCCCCCTCTTGGTGTCCTGACCTGGAGGTGGGTTGTCTCACTTCTGCTCCCAGCTGTCTTAGTGGCCCTCCATCACCCTTCTTTTCCTCGCCTGTAAAATGTATGGCTGGACCATATGACTTCCAAGGTTTCCCTCAGCTCAGACATGTCTATGAAACAGTTGACTTGGAGTATCTACCATTACATGTATTTTTGAAATACACACAGTGATAAGTATCATTTGCTGGGCATCTACAATGTACAAGCATATTCTGGCACTTTGTGATTTTCACAACAAACCCATGAACTGTGTATTTATGTGCCTACTTTTAGTATGAGGGAGCTGAAGCTCAGAGAGGTTAGGGGAGCCTACCCAAAATCACACAGCTTGGAAGCCAGGATACACACGGATGTGTGAAAGATGACATGTGTAATCAAGTGTGTGAGTGTGTGTGTATGTGTGTGTGTGCGTAAATGCATGCTGTCAGCCTGAGATTGGTGGAGGATTGGGACTACCAAAGACTCCATGACCTTTCTCACAGTTGCTCTGACCACCTGCCTTGGAGCATGAACTTGAACTGGTCAGCCTGGTGTGAGATCCTAAACATGATACAGTCCCTAAGGCGGGTGGGTGCCAAGACCTCAAGGTCAAATACTATCTGTTTTCTATTTTCTATACTTCTTCCCCACTGGGGAAGCAGGACAGGCAGTAGAATGACCCAATTCTGCTGCTATCTAGGGGGTGACCTTGACCAAGTCATTTAACCTCTTAGAGCCTCATCTGCAAGTAGAGGTCGGTAACCGTAATGCCAGCTAACACCGAGCACTTCCTTGGACCAAGAGCTATTTTAAGTGCTTTTCATGTAATAAGCCAGTCTCTTCAACCACCCTGAGTGTTGCTTTTATAGTAAGGAAACCAAGGCACACACAGAGAGTGTGTAACTGGCCCCAGGTTATAGCTAGAAAGTGCCAGGGCTGGGATCCAAGCAGGCGAGACATCTTGTATCAAAGCCACAAGCTTCACCCCACATCTACTGCCTCTCTCCAGCTCTCTGACTTGACCAGTTGCTGGGAGGATTGAATAAACTCATGTAATAATCGCCTGGCATAGAGCAGGAGCTTAATACATGGTACTTCCTTTCGCCATTTCGTCTCTGGAAATAGTGTCAGGCAACAGGGCTCTAAACAACATATTCCTGTCAGAGTGAAGTTCCTTATTTGTAAATATTAAATCTACTTTCCAAGACAGGTAAACTCCACCAAATCCTGGAATACACTCCAACGGTTAATAAGTAAAACGGATGTTTTGCCACTGGAGTTGGTACAAACAAGGCCAGATGGTATCGGCTCTGCTTGATTAACTCGAATCAGCCAAGATTTTACAGTTGAACGCTGTGGGATCAAAACAAGACCATAAAAGTTGGACTCTGCCTGGGGGTCAAAAGGGACTTTGCTTTCCATTTGGGGAGTCAAGTCCTGAAGTCATAAAGCAGAAAAAAAAAAAAGTTATTTGGGCAATTCACCGCAGGCCGGCCCATGAGTGCTGGCACACCTGATCTGTTCCGGGGTGCATTAAACGTGGCCAGTTAACGATGGGGCCAGGGAGGGCCCGCTGGCCCTATGACAAGGTCTTGTTTTTTGGAAACAGCTCTCAGGTGTGCACAATGTGACCATCCCTCACCCAATGTGAGCCGACCTCACCCAGGTCTGGAGGACCCTGTCTTAGTCAGCCCCGCTGCTATAACTGGATGGCCTAAACAGCAAACATTGTCATCCCACATTCTGGGAGCTGGAGGTCCATGTTCAGATTTTTTTTTAAGGATTTTTTTAAAAATATATTTTTATTGATTTCAGAGAGGGAGGAAAAAGATAAAAGAAACATCAATGATGATAACTGTTGATCGGCTACCTCCTACATGCCCCCTACTAGGGATCGAGCCTGCAACCCAGGCATGTGCCCTTGACCGAAATTGAACCTGAGACCCTTCAGTCCGTAGGCCGATGCTCTATCCACTGAGCCAAACCAGCTAGGGCCATGGTCAAATTCTTGCGAAAGGCATTCTTCCTGGTTATGTCCTTCCATGGCCTTCTTTAGTGCAGTCTAGTCCTCTTATCAGGACATGAACCCCATCATGAGGGCCCCACCCTCAGGACCTCATCTAGACCTAGTCACCTCTCAAAGGCCCCAGCTCCAAACACCATCACAGTGACGGTTATGGTTTCAACATATGCATTTTAGGGACAACTCAGTCCATAGGAACTACCATATGAAAACGGACATGCTACAGGCCGTTTAAAGTATATATAGTACAGCCCAGGATTGGATGGAGGGACACCAAGTCCACACAGTTCTCAGCTGACAGGAAGGAAAACCAGGCTATGGGGGACAAACACAGGCACATCCCATTGACACTGTCGATGAGTGATCGTTTCCTACAATCAGCTCAGCTCTCAAGTCCAGGGAGCTGACATGAAGAGGAAAGGACGGGCGAAAAAGACTGTTTATCGCAGCATTTTTTCTTTATTGAGATGGATGATGCACTCATTATGAACATTTTAAATACTAGGATATCAAATTGGAAGTGGAAGTCTTCCCTTCATTTCACGCCCCCCCCCTTCCCTATCCTCTCTCCAGATGTCATCACTGATAACCATTTGGAATGTTTGCATTTTTTTAACACAAATATGGTCACATAAAACTACATTGTTCTGGGACTTATTTTTTCCATATAATGCTATCCCATGGTTACCCTTCCACGCCAGCAGATATACTAGTAGTTCAACCTCTTTTTTTATTGTTGATTTAAGAGGAAGGCAGAGAGAAACATCAAATTGTTGCCTCTCCCATACACGCCCAACAGGGGACTGAACTCCCAACCCAGGTATGTGCCCTGACTGGCAATCAGACCCACCTTTTGGTACAGGATGACGCTCCAACCAGGCCACAACAGGCCAGGGCTCCACCTCACTCCTTTCAAGGACCATGTGCCATCGCACAGTATGGATCTACCAACTTTTTTTAAATGTTATTTTTTAATTACAGTTTACCAACATTTGTTTAACCTTGTTGCCTACTAATGGAACTCAGCTTACTTCCCGTTTTGTTGGTGCTATGGTTTTGTCTGTTTTGCTATTAGAAACATTCGGTGAACATCCTCACACGTATGCTTGGGTATTTCTATGAGATTACTGTTTTGGAATGGTTGTCAAGGAGGGTAATCACCAGTATATCCACCACCTGAATCTAAAGCCCACTTCCATTCTCTGAGAAGCTGCTGCAGTTGTGGGGAATGGTAAACCCCACACAGTAGTTTTCAGAAGTTGGGGTGCTTGGAATTACCTGGGAAGCATAAAAATGCAGGTATCCAGCTCCACCAGAATCTACAAGGGTTGAGCACAGGGGAGTTTTGCTGTCTTAGTTGATATTGATTTGGGACAGCTCTTAGGTGCTGCCCTACCCTACAGGTGTAGTAGAAGTCCAACCCAATTCCCATTGTCACGTGATCTGTGATTTTAGGTCAGGAATAAAGGCATGGGTGATGCGTTTGCTCTGTGTGCCCTCTGCTGGTTCTGCGTAAGCATCGAGCATCGAAGTGGAAGTTCTTTCATGCCCAGGCTGGTGAGAATCCAGACTCTCGCCTCCCAGTGTGGTGGGACCCCAGGTGCATGAGAACCACCTGGGAGACCTAGTCATGGGCCTAAGTAACAATATTTTAAAAAATCACTCCAGGTGATCCTGCACAGAAAGCCAGGGTTTGAGAACCTATTTTTCAGGAAAAAAATTGGCCAGGAACACGAAGTTCACAGAGGCATTGAGGTGAGAGCCCTAGACCTCTGGGTAGTGGAGTCCTGGCAGGTGTGCTGTGCTTGCTCAGATGACACTCCCGCCCCAGTTGTGCAATTACCATCCAGCAGAGCAAAATGACCCACCTCTAGGCTTCACCCCAGTCCCACCTGCTGCTGGGTCCACCAAGCCATCACCTCTGAACTAACACTTAATGTTGTGTTTGCATAGTACTTGACATTTCCTGTTTATTCTCACACCCACCCAAGGAGACAGGCAGGGTTTTCCATGTTACAAATGTGAAAAACAAGGCCCAGAGAGACTCAATCACCTGACCCAGGACAGGGAGTTAAGGACAAACAGAGTCCAAGTCTTCTGTCTCCAATTCCAGCGTTCCCCCTGCCACACCACCTCCCCACTGCACAGCACTGTGTGTAGAGAGAACCGGGCATAGCTTCTTCCAAGAACTGGCTCTTAACAGAAACTTCTGCCCATTATCTAACTGACTGTCATGCGCAAGTGTGGTTAAGCATTTGTACCAAGGCCTCTTCCCTAAGCTGGGTTATTAGCGTCCACCTCCTGGTTTTCTTCATCCCAACGGTCACGTTTCCCAGGGGGCCTGGCAAGGTCTCTGGCTGTCAGAACCCCTTCGTTAGCCTCGCCCACACCCTCAGCCTTCGGTCGGAGATCCAGGTGGCCCAGGGCAACCCAGAAGCCCAGTCCCTAGTCGTTCACTTGAGCGCGTCCAGTGACCCAAACACCTGTGTGAAGCGCTCTCTGTCCAGGATGCGTCCGTAGCGCAGGGTGAGGTAGAAGGTCTGCTTCCCACTGTACTGCTGGATCCGAACGAAAATCTCCTGGGGCCGGTCCTGGGTGTCTGACATAGGTATCACCTCGGCCACCGGGCAGTACGAGTCCTGCCGCCAGCCCCAGAAGGTCAGGTGGGCCACTCGCAGCGTGGTGCCAGACTCGTTCACGTACAGGATGCCCACCAGCCTCCGGAAGAAATAGCTCATCCAGTACAGCATGGCCAGGGCGAAGCCGGCTATCCCGCCCATGAGGCACAGGTCGTTGTAAGTCATGAGACCCTGGGAGTACCAGTAGAAGCCAGGCGGCAGAGCCACCACGGTCAGAGCTGTCTGCGCCACCTTCAGCTTAGACACGTACCCAAAGGCTCTGATGGCCTCGAACCGGTAGATCATCTGGAATTTCTCCGTCTCTGTGCCCGGTGGTGTCTCCTTCAAGGTGGGCGACCTGCTCCCCAGCCATCTCCTGAAATCCTGTCCACTGCAGCACTGCAGCCCGTAGAGAGGCCTTCTGCACACAGCCAGCCCTGGCAACCGCGGCACAGCTCGGAGGAGGGCAGCCTGGAAGGGAGACAAGAGACTGTTTCATAGAACTCAACCACGCTCATCGCCCAATGAACACCTGCAAAGCATGAACGCGGAGGCTCCCGCCCACCTTGTGAGGGTGCCGTTATCACGTGGTGGGGGAAGGGAAAGCCAGAAGCTTTGCCTCCCTATGTGAAACAGGAACCTCTTTACCACGGAGGAAACTAAACCCAGAGAAGATAAGAAATTTACCCAAACACACACAGCCAGTGGGTAGGGACGAGTCTGACTCTCCCACTGGTCCTCTTTCCTCCAGGCGGATCAAGTTCAGTCTTCACTCAGTAAACAAGGACCCGGGGAGAGCCAGCTGTGGGCTGGGCAGTGGAGCCATAAGGCTGGCTGAACATTTCCCCAAGCAGGAAACCAAACAATCCCGTTAGGTACTTAGCACAATAACTTTCTGAGTCTCTACCAGGTTAAGCATCATCTGGGTGCTAAAAGGTCATGTTTTCTTAGCCTAGTTAGGGGGAGGGGGGAAGAATGGAGGAGGAGAAAGGGATGAAGGCGCCCGACAGAAGCACAGGGATTCCATCAGGCGCACAGTCCCACCCCTTGGATAGTGCCCCGGAAGGTGCGTTCGGTTCTGCAACCAGATCTGGGTTCCAATCCTGACTCCTAACGTCGCCAGCTGTGGATCCTGGGGCAAGCTACTCCACCTCTCCGAGCCTGTTTCCTCATCTTCCAAATGGGGATTCGGAACATACTGACGGAGATGTGGTTTTAAAGCCCTCAAGGGCACTGATGGGCCTGATTCAGGGTGAGTGCTCAGTGAGTCTTAGTGTCGCACGTGACCTGAGCGCAGGGGAAGCCGGGGAATAACAGAGCGTGGCACAAGATAAGCTCTCTCCCGCGCACCCTGCGAATCGCAGGCCTGAGCTGCACCCACAAAGTACCTCACCTCCCTCAGTCCCCACCTTCCGAACCCTTACCATGGCCCGCAGGAGCCTCCGGGTCGCACCTGCAGTGGGATCCCTAAAGGAGCATGCTCCGCCGTAACAGGCCTACGTGCGGAGCATAGCATTCTGGGATCTGTAGTCCGGATGGAACAGCTGCCGCCGGCCCCAGGCCTGGTGGGCGTGGCTTCTCCTCCTCCCGACGTGCCCCGCAGCACGGAGGCTGGCCCGGAAGTCCGGGGCCCCGGGTTCCAGGTGCTGACGTGCCCGGTCAGGTGGCGGCTTGGGATCCGGAGACATGGCCGCGCCGGGGCCCGCACTCTGCCTCTTCGACGTGGACGGGACCCTGACGGCCCCGCGGCAGGTAGGCGGCGCCCTGTGGGCTGGAGGCGGCAGGTGTAGGGTCTCCTGCGGCCCCAGGACCGGGCCAGCGGCCACCGAGGGTGAGCACCGATGGGCGGCTGAATACCGCCCACCTCCTGGCGAGGCTCAGCTCTGTTCTGGGTGCCCCGGAGGGATGAGACGGAAGACATCGGGGCGCTTGGAGAGGGGATGAGCCGAAAAAGTCTTGAGAGTAAGAAATTTGTATTCGGGTTCTGGGCTCTCACCGTAAGCCCTAGGTTTGGACCCCTGCTCTGCCCCCCTGGCCAGCCGTGTGCCCTCCTCATTCTGTCGCCTGTGGGGTGTGCCCCGTGTCCTGATACGGAAAACAGGTTCTTCGTTCGAACGGGCCGAGGAGAGTCTCTGCTTTGCCTCTTGACAGCTGTGTGACTTTTAATCTCGGCGCTTGAGCACCTGTGTTTGTGAGGGTCGGATGAAATCAAATAAGTTCATGAAAGTATCTTAGCTTACAGTAAGCTCTGTTCAGTAATGGTCCGTAAATGTTAGCCAGCACCGTCACCCCCTTCTCCAGCCCCTGCAGTGGGTCCTGGGTGGTCAAAGGCACCCAGGTTGGCCCAGCGGGTGTGGCTCAGGGGTTGAGCATCGACCTATGAACCTAAAGGTCACAGTCGGATTTCCGGTCAGGACACACGCCTGGATTGCGGACTCCATCCCGGGTTGTGGGGAGAAGGGAAGGTGTGAAGGAGGCAGCTGATCCATGATTCTCATCCTTGATGTTTCGCTCGCTCCCTTTTCCTTCCTCCCTGAAATCAATTTAAAAAAAAAAAAGGTTTTGTTTTGTTTTGTTTTGTGTTTTTTTAAAGAAAGCGAGCCGAGGCAGGTTTGGCTCGTAGATAGAGCGTCGGTCTGCGGACTGAAAGGTCCCAGGTTCGAGTCCGGTCAAGAGCATGTACCTTGGTTGCGGGCCTATCCCCAGTAGGGGTTGTGCAGGAACCAGCTGATGGGTGTTTCTCTCTCATCAATGTTTCTAACTATCTCTCTCCCTTCCTGTCTGTAAAAAATCAATAAAATACATTTTTTTAAAAAGAAAAAGAAAGTGAGAGACCTAGATTGTTACAGGCTGCCTGTTGAGAGCCTCCCTGGAGTCATGGAAGCTTGTCTCCCACTTGCAGACTTTGCTGCTATAGGCACAGACAGGTTTCAGTTAAGATCCCAATTTGTGATGCAGCTCCCTCTGACCTCCTCCTACAAACAGGTCACCCGACACCAGCTGATCCACTTAAGGCTCAAATGGCCTCCCTCTCTCCAAGTTCTGAGTCTAGTTTTGGCCAGGTGGTAGCAGTGGTGTGCTTCAGAATTCCACATCCAGTGTGTGTGACCTTACACATGTCATTTTACCTTTCTGACCCCGTGTTCCATGTGCCTAGTGAAGACACTCAGCTGCAAGTTCTCCAGAGGCCCCTTTGGACTCTGAGATCAGTGATTGGCAAACACTTGTGGGTTGTTAAAAGCCACTAGAGGTGTAGAGCCGAGGTTAGCCATTCATTGTTTGACAACAAATACTCTTGTCTTTGCCAACCATATGGTTTGTAGTAACGACTCAACTTTAATGCAAAAGCAGCCATAGACCATATGTAGACACAGTGTGGCTGTGTTCCAGTAAAACTTTATTACAAAAACACACAGCTGCTCAGTTGGGTCCATTGGCTGTAATTGTCTAGTGTTTACATCCCAAGCCTTTTTACACACCATCTTTGGATCCTCTTAACCTTTATCCTAAATAGAATAGTTGTTACTATCCTCTTTTATATATTTTTATTTTGTTTTATTTTATTTAATTATTTTATTTTTATTTATTTATTTTATTTATTTTTTTTTTGAGAGAGAGGAAGGGACAGAGGGAGAGAAACATCGATTGGCTGCCTTCTGCATACACTCCCAACATTGGACCTGGGCGTGTGCCCCGACTGGGAATCGAATGGCATCCTTTCAGTGCACAGACAACACTCAACCAACTGAGCCACACTGGCCAGGGCTGCTATCCTTATAAATGTAAGGAAACTGAGACTCAAGATCATCTTGATGGTGAAAAGGGAAAGGATTATATTTACAGAACAGTCACAGAAATGTAAAGTACAGCATCAAGAGTGATACTTAATTATATTATAATAACTATGACAGGTACCACATGGGTACTAGACTTGTTGGGGGAATCACATCATAAATTCTATAAATGATTAAGCACAGTGCTGGGCACCTGAAACTAATACACACACACACACACACACACACACACACACACACACACAATATTGAATGTGATTTATAATCCTATGTAATAAAAGACTAGTATGTAAATCGACCAAATGGCAGAACTTCTGGTTGCTATGACGCGCACTGTCCACCAGGCGCAGACACGCAATGCAGGAGCTACCCCCTGGTGGTCATTGTGCTCCCACAGGGGGAGTGCCACTCAGCCAAAAGCCCTGAGCCAGGCTCATGGCTGACGAGTGCAGCAGCAATGGTGGGAGTCTCTCCAACTTCCTCGGCAATGCTAAGGATGTCCGACTGCTGGCTTAGGCCTGCTCCCCTGCCATAAGTTGGACATCCCCCAAGGACTCCCAGACTGTGAGAGGGTGCAGGCTGGGCTGAGGGATGCGCCTCCCCCCGCCCCCCCAGCGAGTGCATGAATTTTGTGCACCAGACCTCTAGTTCAAAAATAAAAATCTTAAAACATAAACAAAACAAAAGAGATTGTCTTGATTTCACACAGCAGATCTGGTACCAGAGCATTGTATTTGCTAAGTTTACCATTTTCTGCAATTTTTCTAAGGTGGAAGCAATGTGCCATTCAGGAAAGTGCTTTTGATTCTCAGAAGGAATCAGGTTATATAAGCTAAAGTATGAAATGGCAACCAGGCAACCCACATTGGAGGCATGATATTCTTTGCAGTGAACATAAATCAGTTTAATACTCAAAAAACAATTAATTTAAAAAATAATTGGTTTTTTTTGCACAGGATACTCTAGGTAAAAAATTAAAAATTTTTAATAACAGATCTATTCCTTATCCAACTTTTTCCTTCCTCAATAAATCCATTATCACATTGATAAGCACAAGGAAGTAGAAGAATGGGTTGTTATCTTTTCTTGGAGCTGCTGAAACAGGATATGATTTAAACAGGTAAATTCTAGTTAGAATTGAGTCCAGAGCATTGCACATTTCACTGTTTTAGTAGAATTTTGTTGTACTGAGTGCTTTCCTAAGAAATGCCATTTCATCTAAAAACAGTTGAGGTTTGCCCAGCCAGCGTCACTCAGGGTTGAGCATCGACCTATGAATCAGGAAGTCAAGGTTTGATTCCTGGTTAAGGCATATGCCCAAGTTACAAGCTCAATTCCCAGTGTGGGGCATGCAGGAGGCGACCAATCAATGATTCTTTCCTCATTGGTGTTTCCATCTCTCTCCCTTTCCCTTCCTCTCTGAAGTCAATAAAAATGGGTTTAATTAAAAATATAAAAACAGTTAAAACTTAGAACAAAAGCCTGCAAAAGGGGCTTAAACGTGGGTGAATTGTTTTCCAACTTTCTGTCATGAGAAATTTAAAACATATTGAACCACTGGGAAAATAGTAGATAGAACAGCCAAATCCCTACCACTTAAATTCAACTATAATTGACATTAACTTTTTTTTAATATATATTTTATTGATTTTATACAGAGAGGGAGAGAGATAGAGAGCTAGAAACATCAATGAGAGAGAGTCATCGATCAGCTGCCTCTTGCACACCCCCCACTGGGGATATGCCCGCAACCAAGGTACATGCCCTTGACCGGAATCGAACCCAGGACCCTTCAGTCCCCAAGCCGACGCCCTATCCATTGAGCCAAACCTGTCCCGGCAACATTAACTTTTACCTTTTTTTTTCTTTTAATCTTTGCAGCACCAATTCCTAGGCTGCAGTAATCATAGTACTTCACCCCTAAAATGTGAGCTTGCATCTCTAGAGGACAGAATATCTATTGTAACCACAGTATCATCATCACACCTAAGAAAATTCACCAATTCCCTAGTAGTGTTTAGTCCAGGGGTGGGAACCGTTTTTCTGCCAAGGGCCATTTGGATATTTATAACATTACTAGAGGCCTGTTGCATGAAAATTCATGCACTGGAAGGGGGTTCCCTCAGCCCAGCCTGCCCCCTCTCACAGTCGGAGCCCTCAGGGGCAGGAGGCAACCTGGCGATCAGAGGAAAGCGATGCCCCATCACACCTCTGCTGCTGCCACTGCCAGCAGCACAAGCCTTGGCTGGCTCTGGTTACCTGAGCCTTGAGTGGCCCTGGGGGGCTGAGGGGACTGGGGGACTCCAGAGGCAGGCGCACAGAGCATCCAGGCATACCTGGAGGTAGGCCCAGCCTTGCTACGCACCTGTCACCCCAAGGGTTGAGGGGACTGGGCACCGCCATCTTGTGGCTGTGAGTACCACCAACTTTGAGAACATGGCAATCAATTAGCACATTCCCTCGTTGGCTTTAGGTGCCTCCATCTTTGAGAGCGTGGCAGTCAATTAGCATATTTCCTCCTTGTTGGCTGTGGGCATCACCATCTTTGAAGGTGGGGCAGCAATTAGCATATGCCTCCTTATTGGCTGTGGGCGCTGCCATCTTCACAACAGTGTGAGGGTCAATTAGCATATTCTCTCTTTATTAGATAGGATTTGAGGGCCAGACAAAATTACCAACTTAAAAATTAGCCTACTATATGGGTCAGACATTTAATTAATTCACCCCTAATTGCCTTGGCAGGGCCAAACCAAATGATTTCAAATAATAACTATGACAGGTACCATGTGGGTACTAGACTTGTTGGAGGAATCACATCATAAATGACCTGAGGGCCAGATTTTTCCCATCCCTGCCTTAGTCCAAGGGTTAGCAAACTTTTTTTGTAAAAGGCC